TTGTATTTTAACAAACAGCCGCATATTTAGTGTTAGTATCTGTAAGTAGTAGTACCTTCGTAGTGGTGTAGTACCTTCTGCTCACAAACAAAAAAGTTGATAATAGAATGTAATATCACGAGTACACTATCAATGTAAAATAAAAGTTATTTCAAATAGTGGAAAATTAATATTTTATGGTATTCATTCAGGTGTAATAAGTACGTGTTTTATTATGCCTTTAGATTGTAAGAGCCTTAATTAATACCAATTACTTAATTACCATAGCTAATTTTAGTGATGGACTAATACTTTTACGATTAATGAGTGCAGCCTAATTCTAACGGCCTTGGCAGTCGAGCGGTTTAGCGCACTGCCTTAGGCTAGTCGCGGATTTGATTCCTCGCACTATGGAAACATTTGTATTCACGACATTTATCAAATATTAATGACCATAGTGACTTCAAAAATATGTATCTCTACACATAATTCCTAAATAGCCAGCAACACACTTGTAATTCTAGTAAATAATTGTGTTGCAGTGTCATGTGACGGTAATCAAGTACCATCGAGTGGGGGGAGATGTCAGATCGACCTCCACGCGGTTCCCCCTGGAAACCATCGTGATACATTCCCGGTGAATTTGTCGCGTTGGGCTAACTGATCTGACTTCATGCTCATCCTATCATGCTCCACTGGTGCCCCGCCAGCGTAAACCGATAGCGCAGGCGGGTGCACCATTCCATTATCATCCTTTAAAAAAAAAAAAGTACCATCGAGTGGTAAGTGATTACCGCCGCTCAGAAGCCCATTTGCTCTTTATTGATTATTGTTTTGCAATAAATAATGGATTATTCACTTGATAGTTTCATAGAAATTTAAAATTGGTCTTCAGTTTTCTTGTTATGGTAAAAATGTATTTATCTATATACATAAAAATTATTAAAGAGAGTTTTTTTTTAATTTATTATTATGTTTTACGGCAGTGGATACAAACATTTTATTGTATAGACGTAGACAATAAATGAATGACAGTGAAATAGAATAGACGAACTTTCGACTCCATCGGTTACTATGAGGACATGACAGTTTAAAACAAACCTATTTAGATAAAGTTATATATGAGTGACACACAATAACAGACATGACCTTTTATCATGTTATAGTTAGAAGGAAATGGTTTCTATATATTTTACTATGTTATACCGACCTAATTATTTATGTTTTTTTTTACGAACTACTCTAATGTTGTTGGCCGTAACTGGCCTTTATAGCTGACGATATGATGGTCTCGGTAGTCTAGTGGTTTAGCACACCCCCTTACTTCCGATTGTCTCAGATTCAATTCTTCACTCGATGCAAACATTTGTATTCATTCGTATGTTTGCATTGGTCTGGGTGTTTTCTATGTATTTTATGTATTTACAAAAATATGTTTAGATATTTAAATAAATTGTCTAGTACCGATAACACAAGCTCTGCTTAGCTTCGGACTGGATGGTTCAGTGTGAATTCTCTATGGTTATTATTATTATAAGTATATATTCACTGCAACTTGTTTAAGAGAATGTACTGTTATTGATATCCAAAACTTCTCATTTAATGACGACCTCGGTGGTCTAGCGGTTTAGCGCACAGCCTTACTTCCAACGGTAGCGCGTTCGAGTCCTCGCACGGCACAAACATTTGTATTCATGAGTATGATTGTGTGTATCGGTCTGGGTGTTTTCTATGAATAATATGTATGTATTTACGAAACAAAAATATATATATAATTTGTCTAGTAACGATAACACAAACATTAGCTAGCTTAACTTGGATCTAGATGGCGCTGTGTGTATTGTCCTGAGATTATTATTGTTATTATTTAATGTAAATATTGTAACAAAACAAGCGACACGCTAATTTGCAACGTCGCGCTCATTGCATGAGAATTCTACAGACAATTGTTTAAGAACAACCGTCGGCGTCATTGACGACTGAATAACTGTTTAATTACTAGTAATAACGCGTCATTATGATGGTAATGAGGCTAGACATTGAGTGCTTACAGAATACCTCTACAGTTGACGCCGCAACTGTAGAGCTATTCTGTAAGCATCACTTAGGATTTCGAAAGCGGGTTCCGCGGTGATTTTGTACATTGGTATTCTGTAAAACTGGATACCAATTTTATTTTTTCCCTTTATTTATTTCATTGACATTATTATGTGACTTCAGCTGCGATTTGATACAGCAAAAGTTTTCGTAGAGCTAATTGTGTTTCACCGGGTGTTTATTGTATTATATATACACATATTTACATTATTATTTATATATTATATACTTTATATAGTATGTTATTTTTATTTACTCGATAGCGACTGCAGAGCCACACGCTCGAGAGCGGGATTAAGGTAAAACAGGCACTAATGATTTTTTTAGAAATATAGGTAAACTTGAGAGCTCAATAGGAAATCACTTTATATTTAACAAGTGGATACTAGTGTCTTAAGTGAAGCGATGAGTGAAATGAGTTGATACAGAATACCAATACTGAACTCAATAATGACGCAACTAGGGTAGCCAACCATATACAGGTACTCAAAAATAGAGTATTGTACTCTATATCGGGGATGAGCAACACGCGGAATAATTTGTATAATTCAATTAATTTTGAAATTTTGTTGAATACGAATTTTGAAATTTAAATCGGCCTTTGGAATAAAAAGGTTTGCCCATCACTGCTCAAAATCATGTGGGCGTACTCTATAACCTATAACACTAATAAACTATGCTCTTTTTTACACAATGTTTACGATACGAGCGACAGTCATGTAATATTATGCAATTCCTTTATTATAACCAAAAAGGTCTACTGTTAATATTGTTGGTATTCCCAATTCTATAAGCCACATTCAATCGTTTCCGAACGCGATCACTAACGTCAATGTAAAAGTATAAAATAAATGTTACACTTTTTTGTACATCCGTACTCTTTATTTACCTCCTTTGAAATCGTACATACTCGTATTTCTTCTTCTAATAAAAGTTGGCAACCCTAGATGTACACCAACCTTGGATAATTACATTTGCATGTACTAGTTTTACATAAAAAAACTGAACAACCATAATTCTTGTACTTTCAAAGACATGCATTAAAGTTGTGATTTTAAATTGTTATCATTGACCTATTGGCCAATGGCTTTTATAAGCAGTTATTATTATGAATATCTAAAGGCCATAGTGCGCTATTAAATCCATATCAACATTATAAATGCGAAAGTGTATCTGTCTATCACCTTTTCGCGCCAAACCCTCTGAACGAATTTAGATGATGATGATTAGTGCAGATATCGTTTCGTACATTAGGCAACTTTTAGGGCGAGCACACTGGATCTCTGCAGGTCGCAGGTGGAAGACGTCTTCCAATAGCCCAAACACCTCAATAAAAAAAAATTAAAAGGAAACTTTTTGTAGCAAAAATAATACTTCAAAGAGATGAAATAGAGAAGGACAGTTTGTATGGGAAATTATTCCACAGTTAAAACTCAATGTTATCGAAAAATCGACTACTCATACAATACTAATGGAAAATAGAAGGAAAGAGAGGAAGGGGAAGACCAAGACACAGATTAAGGAAAAAGTTGGTGTCGTGTCGTATCAACAACTAAGGAGAAAATCGTGGAAAATGACAAGAGCCCCACGTACAAGAGCACAGCTCTTAAATTATGAACAATTGTACTACTACAAAGTCACAGGCGTCAGCTGTTAAAATATACAACGTTATATTACCGTCCAATGCGAATTTAATAAAATTAAATGCAAAACTATTTTTTGATTACACTTAACACATATTAGATGTAAATATGTATGTATTAATATTTACTAATGCATACATACATATTTATCATGTTTTATTTTTGTGTAATAATGTATAAATAACATATTGTAAACAATTGCTCATTAGTATTGTGTTGTAAATCAATAGATTTTACATAATATTAAATAGGTAACAAGTTAACATGCAAATAAAATTGAAACCACAATTCAAAACATGCAAGAAATATAACTCTATACATACTTGACTAAAAATAATATGTGTTTGAATTCAATGATTTATGATTTGTTGATATGATTTATGACTTAATGATATTAACTTGTAACTATTCAGTAGGTTAATGGAACTGTCAACATTTTTTTTTATATACCTTATTATATCTTTTTTTTTATATATATGTGGTTTTTTAAATTCATAGCTGCACAGCTATAGAAAGCTTCATATATATCTATGGAACAAGCACTAACATAGCATATATTATACCAGTATAGGGTATCAGGTAACTATTTAAATTGTAAATATTGGATGGAAAATAAGAATTATTATTAATATTTTCACTATTGTATAATTTTCTCAGCTTATTATTATTATCTTACTAAATTATATAAAGAACATCTACATTAATATTATAAAAATAGACAGTGCAGATTTTTCTGTAAGGGAATTAAACTGTGGAACCACAGTACCCACTTGAGAAAAACTTTCACTGTTTGAAATGTACCTTATTCCAGTGACATAGAACATATATTTTGATCAATATAAAAATCTCATAAAGTTATGAGCATGTGAGTGAAACTGGGTAACTATATTTTCAATACATACACAAACCCAAAAATAGAGTTTAGTGTTGTTACTATCATTGCATTTGTTCCTTTCCACATTTATATGTTAAATGTGAAACAAATATATTTTTTCACTAAATTAATGTGTATTTTATATCCATGATAGAAAGGTAATACTTGTTAACCGACATTGAGCAAACTTTACAGCAGTCTTTAATGTATCTAATTATAATTTTGACCACTGAATAATTTTATATAATATTACCCATTAAAAATATCTAATTTTAATTTCTATATTAAAATATATTGTTATATTATGTAGCCATATTTGAGTTACTTTAGTTTATGGTATTTAATAAGAATTGCCTTTCTAATGAATGAGTGAGTTATGTGTATAGAATACTGGCATTATTGTATACCATTTCATCCCAAAGATATCTCAGGCGGTGTTGTGGCTTGACCCCTGATGTCTGATGTCAATAGATTGCAACTCTATACACTTCATGCACCTTACAGTCCTGAATCAATGCAAGTCACATGTTAGTAGGGTCGACCATAAAAGTCAGTGAACACATGTGTATAAACATTATATTGTAATAAGGCAAAGGAGAAACAAATGTGTTCACAGACATATGTTGTAGACTGTATCATCCATATCTACGGTAACTGTAGTTAAGAGAAAGTAAATGTTAGTTTGCAAGCAGAGAGGTCATTGAAATTTTTTGAAGAAATACTACTCTGTTACACTATGGTTTTGTACATTATAATCATTCTCACTTTATATATGACGATAAATGAAGGTAGGTAGGCTAGGGTAAATGTTCTCTCTAATATCATATAATACACTGACTGACAATAAAAATATATATAGAAGTATAGAAATGGCTACAAAAAATAACACTATTAAATAGATATTATAATTAATAGATTCCTCCAACAAACAGATAATTGTTATAATATAAAATATAAATTATATAATTTACACAATTATTAAATATTTATTTATAGGTATTTGAAGATATTTTTGTGTTTATTTACAGAGGACAGCTTTTACTCTGTGTTAGCCAAGTACTTGGATGAATATAGTATTTGTGAAGTAATCTGTAATCCTTACATTGTATGTAATCCACAAAAAAACATGTCAAGGATATCTACCTCATCCGCAAAGTCCATTGAAGTGAGTAAGAGGTATTGATGGCTATAAACATGATTCAAATGAAGTATTGTTAGTATCAGAGATTAAGAATAATTCAAACAGGGTAAGCTCTACTATACATTAATATCTCCAAGAGAAACCCGCATTCTAGCATGAAAATCACTCCCTACCCGCAGCCGTACCTGATCCACTGCTCAATCGTCGCCCTCTCCTATGTTTACCCACACGTCCGGTTCTAACGGCTGACATCCCGTTATCCGTTTCCAGTGATCCAAACACAATGTTATAGGTACAACAAATTTATTGATTCGGAAACTCTAAATCTGTACTCACAATCACATAACTGTTTTGTTTGTCAGCAATTTCATTCTGGTTACACGTGCAAATTGTTCACAAAATTTCACTGAGACGCACAATCAATTCAATGTTTATTTAATAATGTACTGTGAAAAAAATCAGCTTCTATTCTATTTCGAATTCGTACGAAATGTAATTGAAATCAACGTATTCAATAAGAGATAGTAATAGGACAATTGAGAAAATGCGACTTTACGCGACTGGTCATTTAGGACATGACATCTCTAAAGTGACAGCATTATGACATTGTCTTAAATGTCATATTTGTCAAGAAGAAATACGAATAAATTTTCCTGAGCAAAATAGGCAGTGAGTACATGAGCAAAAGACTGAATATTGTCAAACAAAGCAAGTAATCACTATGTCCGGTAGCCACTTGTAATATATTCATAAACTCGTTACTTGCTTTTCTGCATAATTATATCTCACACGACGAATCAATTGCTGTTAAAGAAAATAAAAATAGAACATATATATTTTTCACATTATTATAAATTTAATAATGGCAACAGCTTACGTAACGTCAATTTTCATTTCTGTCAGCTAACCAGCTGATTACTAAAATTTTATTATATTGTATTACATTATTACATCTGTGTATTACATACTTAATATTTATGTAATTTTCCGGCAACATATATCCAGAGGCATGAAACATTTTCATTCATTGTTTATTCATATGTTTGTTTCTTATTTACTTTGTGTTATAAACATGAATATTGATTCTATTTGTAGATGCTCAGAAAAGTGGTGTTTGGGTCTGGTTTAGTGGCCCTGGTGCCGACTGTTAGTGCGGCTTCTCCATCACAAGAGCCCGCGAAACCCCCTCCGATGAGACCCTCCGACTTGCCTATATACGAAGCTCCACACGCAGATTATGGAGAGTATGATTTTTAAAATGTATTCTTGTCTGTAATGTCACCCTTAAAACTAAAACTTTAACACTTTTATTGTTACACTTAACTGATACACAGATGATAACAACAGGTTGAATAAAAATAACAAGTTGTACATTAAAAATTTGTTGTAAACTACTTTTTTTTCTTGCACAATTTGAAAAAATATATATCTTATATATATTTTTTATTATTTAATTTTTATTTAATGTTCAACTTAATGTTAGTGGGTACATTCGATTATAGATTGTTTGCAGTACTTGAAGGTTAAACATTTGAATTTACTTACTAAACATGATCTAGATTCAAATTCCTAAACTTTGGAATTTACAAGTTAAGGCAGTAAACTATTAGGCTGGACTAGAATACTCACTAATCTAATTTAAAATTTTATCTTCAGTTACATTCAATCAAGGAAAAACACTGAAAAGACAAGCTACATCAGATCGGCATTGCAGTCGCCGGTGACAGCGGTCCGTGAGTGTGTGCAGTCTGCCTGTGCACAGACAGAGTCCATCACCAATGCTGTGCAGGACAACTATCACCAAATACAGGATAAATCAGACTGTTAGTATCATAGTTTATGAAACTCTTTATATAAAGGCCTCTTCAAAGTACCTAATGCGAAAATTTTTAAGATAAAAGTTCAATTTTCAATTCTGCAAATATAGTTAACAATCATCTTGACATAGTAAAAAACAAAGACACAGCCACTGTCTGTTCCCTTATATCTTTTAAACCATGCAAATTTTGATGCTCTTTACAGCAATAGACTTGCACTGAATGCATGTGCGTTATAGCATAAAACAAGCCTAGAAATTTAAAGATTTATATCATGCCAATCCTGGATGGGTCGGGTTTATTTTATTTTTTTCGTTATATATGTGTATAGAGAGAGAGAGAGAGTTATATTAGTATATCATCAGTTAATTACTGACTCTTATAATAATGAGTTTCGAATTTTTACAGGGATAGTGAAATATCTACGCGAGGAAGAGAACAAAGATGTCCGTTATGGCGCTGTAGCTATGGGCGGTCTCACAGGGTTTATATTTGGATTGAGGGGCGGTATTATCAGGGTAAATAATAACTGTTTATTTCCTTGAAGAGATGGCAAAATGCTGAATATTCTTGTAATATGACGTTTTATGTCTAAGAACATATTAGCTCAATTAGCCCTGAACATAGTTATCAATTTTAGATATTTTATTACATATTTTTATTGTTGGAAGGTATGATTAAACAGAAATGTACTACTTAAAAATCTATCCTATTTTCTTCATCTTTAGGGTCTCTTTCTTTATCAAACCTCACCTCTTTGTATTGTTAGATCCTGCTAATATTATTAGTACATTGTCTAGCAATTGGACTTTTTTAATGTTAGATACATTGTCATAGTTATTTAATTGAGTGTAATAAAACGGGTGTCTAATACTGCATACATGCACTACCTTTGAGTTATTCCGATATATAAATTATGAAGGAATACTCCTGATATATAAATTATGTTTTCAGAGGGTACTGTACGCGGGTATAGGCACCACAGCTTTGGGATTCGTTTGTTTCCCAGATGAAACAAGAGAACTCTTAAAAAACAATGGGGTGCTAGCCAAACAATACGTAAATATTGCATATAACTTCCTTTATGGAGGTAAGTCAAAAAAATATAAGATCTAAAAATAAGTCTCTAAAAATAAATCAATCTCTCTTTTTTAAGTTAAAACTTATACTTAGTTACTTTCAAACTATCTTTAGATAACTTACTTTAATAACAAAATTTATTACTACTACTCTAGGCGTCTAAGACCTAGAAAGATGCTAAGACAATTTATGATGTTTTTCTATATCACTTAGACTTACCTGTGATGACTATGAATTCATTATTTTTAATTACCTGTTCAGGTAATAAAACATTTTGTTTTAAGCTTCTCTTCTAATTTGATGAAAATTGTGTACACTATTTTCTTTTAATTATAATCAAAAGTACCCGAGCTGAATTATTGACTATTCTTGTTATAAATGATGAGTAAATATGTTTTGTTCTTTATTGTTAATCTATACATGATATAGAATAGACCATTTCATTATATAATGTATTTCCATTTACCAGTGAAACCTGGAGACCCACAGCTTGAGGTGAAATTCCCTGAGTTGTCTGTGCCTAAAAACTTTTCGGAACTCGCTGACTTGACGGTCTCATTAGCATCGTCAGTGAAACAGGCCGTCATGCCACCACCAGCGAAGGAATCGACCGATTCTAAACCTTCAGATAAGAAGGATTAGGTACAATTTTGTGTAGGTGTCGGTTTTGGGTCTCTGCATGGAATTGGCTTCTCATTCTCGTTTCTTTGATCTGTTTTAAGGCGCGTTTCTGTTGACCTTTGTTTTAACATTGCTTTATATACTATCTTCCTTTAGTTTCATACAAACAGCTCCTGCATGCAAATACAATTTCAATTATATTTTCAGAAAGTTGATTTATATAACTACCAAAAATAATTATTAATATTTTAACATAAATTAATTTAAAATACATATTACAGTATTCATATATAACATTTTCGCTTACAACGACTAACCTATTTTAGTAACGATAATGTTTTATAAAGGTAGGTTTCATAGTCAGGAACCAAGGAAATATAACCGTTTAGTGCGACTCCGGTTTAAGGGACTAACTGCTTATAGCAACCATTATTTATGATTATATGTTCGGTGTTATAGCCCAATAATATTAAATTGATGTTTCTATGTTTAATATTATTTAAAGTGCACTTTTATTAATGCAAGACTTATTTCATAATATTTTTTAGTATGTTCCTATTAATAGCGTTAATTTTACTTTCAGATTATCTAATCAATGACGAAGTAGATGACAGAGTATCCAGTAAGTATACAGGTTGGGCGACAGTTTAATTACTATTCCAATTACATATACTGAAGTGTTTTGTGGTCAGAAATAATTTGACAATTTGTGGGGGTCTGTACTATATATAATAACTCTGGACAATTCATACAGCGCCCTCTATTACTGTTAGAGGCCCTACCCATAACACAGAGCTTGTGTTATGGGTGTTAGAAATCTGATATAAATACTTTTAAACTTTTATAAATAGATCCATAATATTTATAGAAAATAAACAGACCGGTTCAAATAATTTTACTCATGAATACAAATGTTTGTATCTTGTGCGCGGAATCGAACCCGCTATCTTTGTAAGTAAAGCGTGTGCTGAATCACTAAACCACAGAGGCTATTATATGGTAGGAAACAATTGAGTATTACGCTCTAAATCGTGTGCAATTATTCCCCTTTCACAACATAATAAATTGTTATTTTTTCAGCTCCACCATGAACGAGCGACTACAGAAATACCGTATGGGTATTTACTTTCAGTGACGTCTTTATTTATTGCCTGATAGTTGACTTCAGTGTAAATTTATCTATGACAATGTAATAAAATAAAATGCATATTTATATAATTGAGATTTATTTTACATTAAATTGGATCACATATTTTATATTAACAATATAACGTGATAGTACTACTACTTAATACGTACAAGCTTATAAAATATGCATTGACCCTAAAAAGTACTACATTGTACAATTCAAATGACATTTATAACATGGGTTTTAAAGTTTTCGATTCAGGGTTCTGGGAGTAGAGCCGTATTTCTCATTTCATTCCATATAAGTTTACCTCTCAAATCAGGTACAATATTGAAAGGCTGTAATGTATAGTGCATGAGCTTGTAGCACACGTTATCTTTATACGTACGTAAATCGCTTAATCACTAGAATTTGTATAGGTAATTTACTTGCATGACACAATACCTATAACTCCAAAAATATTCAGGTATTTTACCAGATATATAACCATACATAAGCATAGTAAAAAAATATACAGTTTTATCAGAATTTTTAACAATACTGTAACTTTCTGATTTCTATCATGTTGTCAGTCTATGAATTATATACTTAGTAAGTTAGTATAATTTCTTACGTAAAATAAATGTATCAACAAAAAAAGAGTTCACTTATTGTAAATATATTAATGGTATTTTAAGCAAATATCATTTCTTCCCGTCTCTTTTTAGTGACCACTGTACCAGGTTTATGCTGTGCTTCTGGGTGATTCATTAGTTCAGGTGGACATGTAGATACAGAACTTGAAAGCAGAACCTGTTTAAGATCATAAAATAGTGCAGAATCTTCTTTAGTAACAAAAGAGACTGCTTTACCAGTTTTGCCAGCACGCCCTGTACGACCAATACGATGCGTGTAGTCTTCTATAGTCTTCGCCATGTCGTAATTTATGACCACGCTCACGTCTTTGATATCTATACCACGACCCGCGACATCTGTAGCTACAAGTATATCTTTAGAACCATTTTTAAGACTGGCCAAAGCAAAGTCACGCTGCTCTTGACCTTTACCACCATGCAATGTACAAGCATTAAACCCAAGCTTTTCCAATCCTTTTGCAAGAACATCTGCACCTTTTTTCTGATTGACGAAAATGATAATAGGAGGTTCGACACCGCGTTGTAGAATTTCAGTCAACTTTCTACGTTTTTCATTCTCACCAATCATGTAGACAACTTGTTCAGTTCTATCTACTGGTTTTCCAACAGAACCAATATATACAATAGCTGGTCTTCTCAAATAGCTTCTTGCTAGACGTTCAACTGCTGGTGGCATAGTAGCAGTAAACATCACAGTTTGTCTGTACTTTTTCTTTGTGTTGTAGTTGGCTAATAAAACTGACGCATCCTCAGCTGCATCTGTGTCCGGTTTTATATTTGTTACTGGCATGTATTCCAAAATCTTCTGTACATCAGGTTCAAAACCCATGTCAATCATACGATCAGCTTCATCCAAGACTACATAAGTGCATCTATTCAATACCAAGTATCTGTTTTCTAATACATCTATCAGACGCCCCGGTGTGGCAATGACAATTTCGCAACCCATTCTTAACTTGAACCCTTGCTCTTCCCTTGACAAGCCACCAACAACAACAACTGATGTAATACCTAATGGAAGTCCAAATTTATTGGTTTCTTCTTCAATTTGTTGTGCCAATTCACGTGTCGGGGCCAATATAATAGCATATGGACCTTGATCAGCATCTTCTAAACGTTCAGTCTTTGGAAGAGACTGTATCCATGTCAATAATGGTATAAGGAAAGCTAAAGTTTTACCAGAACCAGTTTCTGCTACTCCAATAATGTCTCTATTCTGAAGTCCTATTGGAATAGCCTGTCGTTGAATTGGAGTGGGACTCTTGTAGCCTACCTTATTTATTATTTCCATTACATCATTATGGAACCCTGCTTCCTTCCATGATCTGATAGGGTTAGGAATTCTACCACCTTTGATTGTAATATTGTAGTCTTCTCTGAAAATACGCCAATCTCTCTCAGTCATTTCATCTTGATCCTTTTCAGACCAATGTCTGTCATCCCATTTTTGCTTATCTTCCTTTTTCTTCACCTTCTTCAGACGTAACTTTTCCTGTTCCTTCTCTAATTCTGTTCTGCGTTTTTCCAATAGATTTCCATAAAATTTGCTATGATCTTTCTTTTGGGATTTGATATCAATACCAGCAATATGTCCTCTACCAAAAAATTGTACTTGATGTCTTTCTTTGTACAATGTATTGTAATCATTTGATGTGTCTTCTGAAGCATCCCAATCAAATACAAATTTCCTATCATTCAACCTCCTGACTCGACGTTTCTTCTTTACAATTCCCAAATAACGAGCCTTGATTGCTTCTTCCTCTCTTTCTTTGTCTTTTGTTTTAGAAAATTCTTCATTCTTTTCTTTTTTGTCATCACGCCTATCACTAGTTGATTTTCTTTCATCATATTTCCTTTCCCTTTCCCTTTTCTCCCTTTCCTCTTCCCTCCTTTCTCGTTCCTTTTCTCTATCTCTTTCTTCTTTGTGTTTTTTCTCTTCTTCTTTTTTCGTAGGACCTGTCAAATCTATTGTTGTTATAGATGGTTTGTCAACATTTGCTCTTATAGCCGCCACTTGTTCCCGACGTCGTTCAAGTGCTAAAGCAGCTCTTTGTTCTTTGGTTAGAAATACAGGTTTGCTTCTAGCTTCCTCTTCAGCTTTTTTCTTAGCTAATAACTCTTCTAAAGAGAGCGGCTCGCGTTTTGTAGGTTTAGGTTCTTCTGTCTTAGGCTCTTGTACTTCCTCGTCATCTTGTTTGATTTCATCATCTCTTTTATTCTTACTCTTCTCTTTTTCTTCGTATTTTCTATCTTTTCCTTCACGCTTTTTCGGTGATCTCCCGCGATCTTTTCTTGCAGGACTACGAGATCGCTCTCTTTCTTTTCTTGTCGGGCTTCTTGATCTGTCTCGATCTTTTCTTGGGCTCCTGGACCTTTCCCTTCGTTTGGTTTTATCGCGATGAGCCTCGCGCTCATCATATCGATCCCTTTCTCGTCTCTCTCTGGAACGTGACCGTCGGCGGTCGGGGCTTCTGTCACGTACCATTATAGTTTAATAAATCAAGTAGTTGGTTGCCAGGGTTTTAGTAAATTAATTTATAGAATATCGAGAAAAACCAATACTCAGATTACTGGTTGTAAAACGAATTAATAATTAAAAATACTAAAGACAGTAAAGCAAAATGCAAATTTTGAATGACATACCTGATTGACATATTTGACATGCCTTTAAACAAGAATGAAGACTGACATATTTCCAACTTACTGTTCTGTCTATGGTTAGGTTTTCAGTTCTCGCTTAAGTCGTTAAGAACCTTTTATTCAACAAATTGATTACTTGTAAGTAGATTAATCTTTCTTACGAACGAAGCTTGTTTCCAGTGTCAGAACATTAATAAATTAAGAATATGCATATTTAGGGTAATTTGGAGAAAAAAAAATATGATACTCATATGTAAAACCAGCCTTATTCATAGACATTGTAGTCTCTGCTGTATTTTTTAACTGGAAAAGTGTCGTGCTGTCGATTGAAGTCGATTCAATGTCAAGGACACTAACCGATCAATCAAGTCCTTAAAAATAAACAATTTGTTTATTTACAGGATTTTACGTTTCTTAAACTTATATTTTAATTAATTGCAAATTGCAATCGAATTAACAATTTCGTGCGATTGTTTGCGATCTATGCTTAATTTAATATGGAATTAGATACAAAGTTTAAGGTCTTTATAACATCTACTACTTTGATAGTTGGTAGTGCGAGTTTTGTTTATTTAATTTCAAAATTTAATAAACGATGTAGAAATGCTATAGATGCTCTGAATTATTTAACGATTGTGACTGTGACCAAAGAGAGTGAGTGTAATATCGTCGTTGGAGAATTACGAAGGTAAAGCTAATTATAGATTTAGTTATTTAAGACCACATTGTGGCTAATAAACAAAAGTTTTATGTTCACATATTTCATCGCTTCCATTATTTATCTAATTTTATCATTTCTCAAATAAAACCTACGTATTAAATTTTATAACAGTAAAAAATAATTAAAGTAGTCCATAGAATAAATCCATACTTTTCGATTTCAATTTGTTTTGTAACAGTATCTTAGTAATGAGTTATTAATTATGATGAAATACATGTTTTATATTGTGAAAATATAATGATACTAAAAACTGGTTAGTGGTTCGTTATTTTTTAAAGGATGTTAGTCATAGAATATGTTTTCCTCATAGTTTTTAGTAACAAACTTGAATATAAAGTTTTCAATCCTTAATTATTTTGAAAGTTGTTCTCTTATTGGTCCAGCTTTTGCCAACTGTGCAAATAATTATCCAGTATGTCTTTGATACAGTTCTAACCGACTGATAAATGATAATTGCTGATATATTGGATAAATATGTTATGATGATATTTTCACAACAATGGAGCAAAATAAAAAAATCCAATTGTGCTAACTTGTACTATATAGACTCACAATAGTTGTAGAATGTAATGTGTAGGTACTTTGCTGCCATTTAGCTGCACATCTGCACTCCCTGCAAACACTCACTTGGTATGTCAATACTTGTTACCACACAGTAAATTAAGGTGCTTACAACAACATAGCCTCAACCTACCAAGCAAGCTGTCATCAACATCATGTACATAAAACATCACTGCCAACTATTTTCTTAATCTGCTTTATATAACTCTGTCTTATGTCTTGGTATTGATCTTCCCCTCTTTCCTTCTAAGTCCCTTTCTATAATAATATTCACTGTACTATATCAGGTATCCCAACATTATTTGTCATCTATTATCAATAATGTGTAGGTTCTGCTTTTTTTTATAAAATTACTAGCAGACCCTGCAAAGATTGTTTTGTGATATAAATTAAAATCACTATTAAAATAAGGGGTTGGTTATAGAAGGTGAAAATTTAGGATTGTATGTATTTTTTAATGGCACATTATTAATAATTAAATAAAATTGGCCTATTAATAAAAATGTAAGCGGTGGACAACCCTAATTACTTAACCCTTATATAGGGGTATGGAAAATAGATAGTAGCCGATTCTCAGACCTATTAAATATGTATATAAAATTTCATAGAAATTTGTCAAGTTGTATGGTAACTAACATTATTTATTACAGAAGACTTTATATATACCTATATATAATATAGTATTTTTTTTTAATGAAGATTTGTGTTGTAATTTCTAACACTGCATTGTGTATGTTTAGGAGATGCAAGTTCCATAGAGCTGTGGGATTTGATTGTGAGTGGGTGACAGAACATGGGAAAAAGAGACCAGTTGCCTTGGTACAGTTATCAACATTTGATGGTTACTGCGGTCTCTTCCGACTCAATTTGTTGCAGACTGTACCCAATTCTCTAAAGGTAATTGGCATTAATGTTTCTGTTATTTGAAGAAAATAAACATTACAATATTATATATTGCAACTTTATAGAATCTCTAATCTATAAAAAAAAATTTTTTATAAATATTTTCTTTGTTTTTGTAACTGTTTTCATTGCAGCTCAGCTCCTATTGTTTGTAGGCTACAAACAATATAGTGATATCATATAGCCTATAAACTTCCTTGATAAATGTGCTATTCAACAATGAAACTGTTTTCAAAATCAAATCAGTATTACCTGAGATTACTCCAAATACCCAAACTCACTAACTTTACAGCTTTGTAATATTTATTAATGTACAATAATGTGATATTCAAAATGTCTTATATTTTTTAGGAGTTATTAAATGATGTAAATATATACAAGGTGGGAGTTGCACCATCCGATGATGCAAAGTATTTGCAAGCGGATTATAATATCAACCTTAAGTCCACTCTGGATGTAAGACATTTAGCGGTGCTGTGCAGACATCACCCTGGGGGTTTAGGTTCCTTGTCAAAATCTTTGCTAAATATTATTTTAGACAAAAGTTGGAGGGTAAGTAGACATTTATATATTTATTGTTATTTCTAGAATTATATACTATATATCTGTATCATTAATTATATAATTTTCTCTTGTTACTATTTTGTACTACACTGGCAGACACAACAGATGTTGTCCTGTCTTAACTATGAACTACATATTAGGCAAACATTAAAGAAAACTTTAAGACTTTATTACTTTTTAATTTTATAATACAACAGACAATAATAAACACAATAAAAAAAGTATTAGCCAATCGGTTCAAGCTTTAAGGCCTGATTCCCTGACCAAGGGAAATAGGGATTCATTTGAGCCTCGGTGGTCTAGGAAATTAGCACAGCACCTTACTGCCTATGGTCGCGAGTTCGTCTCCAATTATTTTGTGAAATTATGGCAGTCCACTTTCTATACATAGTGTCTACCACTTTTATATCGAAATAGCTTTTACCCGCGCATTGAATAAAAAAATATTTGTTTTGATTGATTGATCGGTTCATGATTGTTACGCTTTCACGCAAAACCTACTGAACTAATCATCATGAAATTTTGTACTTTCACTATTATAATATTATTAAGGATTAAGGTTAAGGATGTATAAAGTTACAGTTAAAGTATAAACTACAACTTGCATTGCTAGTAATAGTGTAATATTATGTTAGTTTTTATTTAAAGAAATATGTTTAAAACCAATTTATTATTTCATCTACAATAGGTCCGATGCAGTAATTGGGAAGCAGATACACTGACAGATGCACAAGTTAAGTACGCAGCAGCTGATGCTCATGTGGCCATAAAGATATTTGTAAAACTCATTGACAAGTTAAACAAACCTAGCAAATGGTCAATGCTGTTAGGCACCAAAGGATCTAAAGATGTTTGGAATAATTTAGATGATGTGTGCATGAAGTTTGCTGATTTTTATTTTAAAGTGTCACATGCTCTCAGGGGCATAGATGCTGTGTAAGTTTCTTAAATTATATCATCAATTTTGTTTAAAGTCACTGCTTAGAAGAAGCAGCCTTTAGGCTACTTTACCATATGTAAAATGAAAGAATTGCAAAATAATGACAGATATCCGATTTTTAAATTCTTTATTTTTTCACTTTTCTAATACAAATAAAGTGGGCTTTAGAACATGCTTGATTACACTACTGGTTCTCCTTCTAAATTCAAACAAATGAAATATGTTTTAAAAAAAGTATCATCAGAATTGTTTTCATAGTGATAATGTTGTTAAATTGAGAAATATATTAGAATAATTATAATCTCAGGACAATTCACACAGCGCCATTTAGACCCAAATTAAGCTAGTTAAGGCTTGTGTTATGGGTACTAGATAACTGATACAAATACATAGATATTATTTTCATAAATACATACATATTGTACATAGATAACAACCAGACCGATACAAACATACTCATGAATACAAATGTTTGTGCCGTGCGATGAATCGAACCCGCGACCCTCGGAAGTAAGGCGATATGCTATATCCCTAGACCACCGAGGTTGCCATATCATCATTCTTGAAAACGATAAAAGTCAGTTGAATTGAATGCTTCTAATTTCGAAGTTGGTTGCAAAATGGTCTTGTATAATCTCTACTGCTACATACTAATAAACTCCTTAGTTCTGTTTATTTGTTCCGGATATTTGGTTGACTCTAATAATTAATTGTTTCAGTAATAACCCAAAAAGGATTAAAGAGGTCTCCAAGACATATTCTAATTTGACTCGCACCAAACCATTGTATCACAACTGCTTCCTACAGGCGCCAGATGGAGAATTACTGTGCACATGTGATAATAAAAAAGCGTTATGGTTAGTTATTCAAGCCATGTAATGAAGTATTATACTCTTTAACCTGTAATATCGGTGCCTTTCATCACCCTTTAACAGAAAAACAACAACAACAGAATGTCCAGTTCAGTCGGGTTCTTCCACAGATCCTTATGGACCGCTGAGTTTGGGCTTTGAGCTTGCGCTCCTTGCCCAGGCGTTCTGCTGCGGTGAACCACCGTCATTCGTTTACCGGCTACTTTTCAGCAGCCGGCTGTGTAAAATGTCGTACGTCTGTGTGACATCTTACTTTAGTAGCTAGTTTCTTAATAAATTTGAATTTATGCTCTAATAGTTGAGCATAGAACATATTGTTCCGTAACTCGTTATTGTAACAATAACGATGTTGTTTATTTACACGCCTGCTCAATTTAGTTGTCTATGAATGAACTATATTATCTCGAAATCATTTCGAACTGACGGTAGATTTAACATATCATAAGAGTTTCTAATAGACCTACATGAATAAAGATATTTTGAATTTGACTTCTTACTAATATTATAAACGTGAAAGTTTGTGAATATGGATGGATGTTTGTTACTCTTTCACGCAAAAACTACTGAACAGATTTTGATGAAACTTCACAGTAATATAGCTTATATATCAGAGTAACACATATAAAGTAAGTGTGATGCAGACAGAGTTGTGCGGGATCATAAAATGATAGATGCAGTTGTTACTTTTAATAAAGAAAGTATTGTAATCTTGAAACAGGTATGTGCAGAAACAGCTAGCGGATGTAGTGACGGAGGAGCCTCTGACAGTGAGACTCCGGTTCGAGCCGGCCGGCCGCTCCGTGGGCGAGGTGGGCCGCTACTACCAGCTCACTAAGGAGAACAAGTGCGTTGTGTGCGGGAACAACAACTCCTACATACGGAAGAACGTCGTGCCCAGAGAGTATAGGAAGTACTTCCCTGGTATGTGACCTGGTAACGAGTACCTTTACTCAGTTGTAAATCTTATTAATATTATAAACGCGAAAGTTTGTTAATATAGATGGATGTTTGTTACTCTTTTACGCAAAAACTACTGAACGGATCTTGATGAAGCTTTACACTAATATAGCAGCATCAGAATAACATATAGGGTATAAATTTCACGCGCTTGAAACCGCCGGCAGAACTTATTATCTGATTTTAATCTAAATAACATAACTGGTTTTAATCCACCGCATTAATATACACCGCATGGCATAGCCCGAGTTACCTACGGTAAATGAATCATTTTTTAAATTGGTCAAGTGATTAACAAAATAGAAACCTTAATGTGTGTATACATTTATTATCACTATTACAAGAGTTATACTTAGGTTTTTTTAATTGGTGATAATTTATTTCACATTTCTTGTTACTTGTCGGTATCGTCTGATTGAATGCTAAATTAGATTCGTTTACCACAGTACTGGTTTCCCTCGAGACGACATTTGCGAACCCCATTTTTTTTTAAATTGTCGCGACCTCTGAGAAAAAAACCTCTACTGCCTTAGTAGAGGTTTTTTTAATAATCAACGTAGTTAAAATGCAACTATTTCTGAATTTTTCTTTTAGTTAAGTAGTTAGTTTACCTACGCGAAAATATTTATTAGTACGATACTTAGAAAATCGTTGATTGACATCACACCAGGTTTATAAGCATGTTATATTTTTTATTGTTATATAAAGTTCTTTAAATTTGGCGGCCTGTATAATTTTTCTACCATCCCACGGGTTGCGCACCACTGAAATAGAGCATGCGGCTGACCGGACCCTAGTGGAGGCCAAGTGGCAAATGGACCGGAAATTTATCACGATGATTTCCAGGGGGAAATGGCTGGAGGTTTTTTTATGGATGATAATGGAGTGGTGCACCCGCCGACACTAACGGTTTACGCTGGCGGGGCACCAGTGGAGGATGATTAGATGAGTATGAGGTCTGTCAGTTAGTCCATCGCGTCAAATGGAAACTACCATTTATCAAGATGGGTTCCAGGGGGAACTGCATAGAGGTGAACCTGATTGAAGCCTACATTTTTAGCAATGGGGTTATTAGTGTATATTACTAACTAGGTCATAGGGTTATTATCTTTTTTACTTACCTTATTCTTTACTGTATCTTAGTGAGTCAATGAATAACTTGATATTATAAATACCTTCCTGACTATCAATATATAATAATATATGTATATTAATATTGAGAATATTTATGATTTCTAATGTAATAATGATTTCTTTTAATGAAAGTCCACTAGTCTCATGACGTACTGCTGCCGTAAGATTTATTCTATTCTATTCAATGTCTCTGATAATTATGCTTCTAAAACAGACATAATGAAAGACCACTCGTCTCACGACGTGCTGCTGCTGTGCGCGCCGTGCCACCAGCGCAGCAACGTCACCGACCAGCGCGTGCGCGACCAGCTCGCCAGCCTGTGCGCCGCGCCACTCTGCAACAGGGACTCCAGCAAATACGTAGAGGACTCCATGCAGAAGTATGTACACTGAAAAAATCACTCTGCTTCGTAAAAGTCGTTTGCGTGGGTACTTCGGTATCATATTTCAGACGCCAAATAGGTCGCTTGGTTTTTTGTTGAGTGAAAAAATGTGTTTTGGTTGTTGAGTGAACATTAAGCAATGAAATTGCTGAAACACGTACACTGAAAACTCGTGGGTCTACATCAGCCTTAGTCTCAATTATATTTGCCGCCAAGTGACTTGCTTGGTAAAATGTGTCTGTGGATGATAATGGAAGGATGCACCCGCCTGTGCCAACGGTTTACGGTGGCAGGGCACGAGTGGAGGACGATAAAATGTGCGTGAAGTAAAGTCAGTTAACCCATCTTGACAAATGGTAGTTTGCCACGATGGTTTCCAGGGGGAACTGCATGGAGATCTACATGGAGAGACCTGTTTGAAGCATACATTTTTAGCAATGGGGTTATTTTTTTTATGGGTGATAATGGAAAGGAGCACCTGTCTGCGCTAACGGTTTACGCTGGCGGGATACCAGTGGAGGATTATAGGATGAACATGAGGTCAGGTCAGTTAGCCCATCGTGACAAATTCACCAAGAATTCATCACGATGGTTTCCAGGGGGAACCACGTGGAGGTTGACCGAACATGGTACATTGTTAGCAATGGGAGTTACTAGTTCCCATTGCTAACAATCCCCTTCCCCTCTCAATGGGGTTATTAGTCCATATTACTAACATTTCCTTTCGCTTTGGTAAAATGTGTTTCTATCGTATGGTGCAGATTAGGCAGTGAAATTACAGGATAAGAGTTATGACAACTTCAATAGTCTCTGTGGTCTATCGGTTTAGCACACTACCCTAATTCAGATGGTACAGGGTTCGATTGCTTGCACGATGCAGTTGTATTTATGACTGTAATGATATATACCGGTCCGGGTGTTAATAAATATGTACATATTTATTTAAAAAAATGTATCTATGTATCTATTCCAAAACGATGTTTTGCAGTTAAAGCTGAGATTTGTGTTACCAGGAAAGCTCGGTCTGCAGCACGCGCTCTACTCAATCCATTCGCGACGCTGCCCGCATGGAGGCGCACTGAGCTTGAACGATTGCTTCTACATTACTACCAACACGATGAGATCACTACAGAACTATTGCAGGAAGCGGCCGATCTGCAAGTACTGTGAGTTGATTGTTTACCAGTTGATTTATTTTCAGTGCTTTAATTTTTTTAAATTAAAAAGTATGTGTTCTTTCTAATACCTCCAAGAACATGTGTACAAAATTTCATCATAATCGGTTCAGTAGTTTTTGCGTGAAAGCGTAACAAACATCCCTACTTTCACATTTATAAATCACTAGCTACTCGCCCCGGCTTCCCCGGGTGTACATATCTTATACATATAGACCTTCCCCTTGAATCACTCTATCTATTTATAAAACCGCTTCAAAATCCGTTGCGTTGTTTTAAAGATTTAAGCATACACAGGGACAGAGAGCGGCAGCGACTTTATTTTGTACTAGGTAATGTAATATTAGTAAGGATAGATACCAATTACCATTATCAGGTTTGTTTGCTATTCCAGTAATATTAAAACATTTGTTCCGCAGATTTGAGAATCAAGACTATGAATCGCATGGTTTAAAAGTGGTCGAATTCTTTCTGGAGGGGGAGGGTGGTTTGCTAGCACTAGAAGAAATGTGGAGGAAGCACTTTTTGAGGTCCATGCAGCCAAAGTATATGCCTGAACTATGGTCCACAAAACATAATGAAGAGAGGTTAGTGAACCATAACGATGAATTCGTTGGTTTTGTTCATAAATTTTTAACGCATTTTTATTATTTTTGTTCAAAATGGTGGTGCAGAAAATATAGCTATAAAACTATTTATTTGAGAATATTATTAAAATACATTAGACATTTACAGTTCTAAAATTATATATTTAAAGTCTCGTCTATGTCTTTATTTTATTCATGCTTTTAAATTATAAATGAAGTAAATATACATTTATTTCTTGTATTCATATCCGCGGTCGTCTAGCGGTTAGACGCCGTCTAACTTCCAGTGGTCGCTGGCTCGATTCTTCATACGATTTGTGTTTTTTATGTATATATTTACAAAAAATATATAAGCTGTCTAGTACCCATATAAATGCTCTTCTTAGCTTCGAATGATGCTGTGTGATTTATACTATGTTATTTATATTATATTAATGACTAAATAATATTTATATTCTTTTGTTATCAGATTACGTGTAAAGTACAATGAAGGAAGATTGAATGAAGAGCAATTAAAGGCCATTGGCGTCACGGTATCGGACTTCAGCGAGCAATATGAAGTGATACCATTCGGAAATTCGAATTGAGTAGTATAAAACTAATTGTAGTTTTATTATTTTAAGTTTTTACCGAGGTAGAGTATGTCAGCCGTCAAGCAGCTTGCTTTGTAAGCTGTGGCCCGGTTGGAGGGATGGAAATTACAGGAAAAAGGCGTGACTTAATCCTCCGAAGTGACAACGCATTAGTGGTGTCATAGGCGGCACATGATAATGTGATATCTGTAGTCCTTTTAATGTATAACAAGCGACGGTTACCGCTTACAATCAGGTAGTTTATTTGCCATGTTAGTTTTATTCAAAGTTTTAAGATTAATGTGTTTTCTTGTATTTGTAAGAAGTTATGTCAGAGACTTGCTAAAATCTTCATAGGGATTGACTTCATTATGATCTTATTATGTTAAGAGACTATTATTATCGAGAATTATTAACTGATAGATGGTTTATTGTACCCATGTCGGGTTGTTATGTAAATTTATGAATTCTATTTTATAAAATTAAGTAAATTGCAGTACACTATGTTTTATATAGTACATATCACTATTACTATCTTTCTACCTTGTATCTTTTTTAATAGGTAGGTTACATTGTTTCTATTATCTGTAATGTTGTGGATTATAAATACTGTTCAAATAAATTTACATTTATCAGTTTTATGCCTTTCCATAGTGCTCCCTTTTTACTTTAGTATATATTTATTTTTGTGGTAAGAACGAGACGATTACAAATTACTTGGTAGACACCGGTTGTAAATTTATATCCAAATAGATATTTGTTATAAGTTGTGATTATTTAATGCCAACAAGCAAGTTTTTTTATTTTTCATACAACGATAAATATTCTGAAGTGTAGTAAACTCTACGTACTCTCCAGGCTGTATGGTCCTGTGCCTTTGCCTATCCTGGATAAAATATTCTACTACTGTATTCTCTATATGTCAATCACTGCACAGAGTACGTATTTAAAGCCCGTAGCTGATGTCTTAATGTCAATCGTGATTGACTTCACTGTTTAATGTTGAAACTGTCCGTCAATTTGAAAATGTTTACGACTAGAACAACCGTTTTTGTTCAAAAGTTGTGTCTACAAATATTTTATCACTTGTTTTTTAAAGTATTATGTTCCTTGTAGAAATTAGAATTACATGTTAATAAACATTTGCTCAGTGTTTTTGTTTACAACTAGAAAAACAAAACTATAAACAGAAGATTGGTACAATTCGCGCAATTTATAAATACGTTAAATCAACATGGTTATCAAGAAAACTATAAAAAAACAACAGAAAATTACGAAAATATTCCGGAAAGGATGTACGTATGTAAAGTACAATTCTTAAAGTATCATTGTTTATTAGATTCATTACATTTTTTTATTATTTTTTTGCCGTTATCTTTACCGTGTCTCTGTACAGGCTTATTTTGACTACATTATTTATTATTAACCATTTCGTATATAGATACATAATACACAAGATAGTCACGGCTTACCATCACGTGGGCCCACAGCTTCTTCGCTATTTCAAAATAAAAAAAATAGTAACAACATTTGAGATATAGATTAACTAGTAATCTACTTGATTTTTACCATTAGTATCGGTACCAAAGCAGGCTGATGACTGTGAAGAGGATAGAGAAGAAGTTTCAAAATTGGAACAGAAGCTCAAAGAGAAACAGGATGAACTATTCCAGCTACAAAGAAACAGCTATAGATGTAAAGCATTATCACCAACAGAGAGCAAATCAGAGCCATTTGTCAGACCTCAGGTATATAGTGTTAAATTAATTAAAGGAATTATTATAGAGATAATAATAAATAATTAAGGTGAAGGGTCAATAATGTGGATTAATAAACCCATTGCTAGCAGTGTACCATGTCAGGTTGACCTCCATGTGGTTGCTCCTGGAAACCATAGTGATAAATTCATGGTAAATTTACCACTATGAGGTAACTGACCTGACCTCATGCTCCACCTCTGCCTGCCAATGTGTACCGTTAGTGTAGGCGTGAGCACTATTGCATTCTCTTCCATAAAAAAAATAATAAATAACCATAATCCTGGTTATTTATTAATTACCAATATTTTGATGTTATGTATCTTTCATTCAGCATAACTTTTTGTAAAGCAATCTACATGAAAGTTATAATTGTCATTAAGAAAGGATTTTTTAAGTAGTAAGTATTTAAAAAAGTAAATATATATATTATACACCCATCCCGACTTTTCATGAGTGTACATGTATTAGCCACATATATTCCTCTTGAATCACCATCTATTATTGAAAGCTACATTAAAATCCATTGCATAGTTTAAAAGATCTAAGTGAACAGATAGCAGAAGCAACTTTATTTTATATTATGTAAAGATTATTACTATATGTCTAAGTAATACTTTTGGAATATGTACTTTCAGATTTGAAATTTGTCAGAACTACTTTTTAATGTTAAGTATATGTTCTGTTTTATTTGTACAGAAAATAATTCTCACTAACTCGGTGACAAGCCTAAAAAGAGATCTAGAACTGATGTCAATGTTATCCAGCATGGAGGTGCAGTCATATGCGGCTAAAGACCATTGCAGTATTGTCTACCACATGCAACATGATGCAGAAAATGAAATAAAACATGGTTTGAGGATTGAAACAAACTCTGGTAATTAATTTAGTAATTTTGTTAATTTATTTAGTTAATTATATATACCAATTATAAATTAACACATACACAATATAAAACACCCAGTACTTATAAAAACACCTTTTCCCATCTTCCTTATTAAATATTGTCTAATGAAAATATCTATATTAATTTTCTTTCCTGTAATTTACCAACCAATCCGATCCGAAAAAATCTTTGAAGGTATATAAAGAATTGAGTCTGATGTATCATAGACTACAACTTTCTTCTCAGAATGGGCGTAAAATGCCAAAACTTCCTTAGATTTTCAACTATATCGTGACTCGCACGTCGGAAAGTTAAGCTTAATGCACATCTGCATGTCTATGAACCTCAAATCATCTTTACAACTGTGGTTATTGTCACGAACGAATAAAGTAAACCTACTAACTATTGTATGATCGTGTATACTATCAAATGTTGTAAAAAATAGAAAATTAAAATAATCTTATTATTCTAAATTATTCTGTTAGCATTTATAATATTTTTATTTCACTCTTGTTACAGGTAAAAATGAAGTATCAAAATTTTCACTCCCCCTCGGTTTTAATTATGATGGGGTGATGGAAGATTTTGACAATATTATGATGCCTGACTGCCTCGGTGCTATCAGGAAGGCTCTTGTCGCATATTATGATAGACTCGAGCAGTATGACGCACTTAAGGTTTGTATTATACATTTATGTATACATAGTACATAGTTGGAACATTTTTTATATTTGTTTCAAATAGTAGAACTGAATATAAATAAATATAAAAACTACTTACTTATTTAATGTATGACAATGGTATTATACATGCGCCTGTGCTAACGGTTTACGCTGCCAGGGCACCAGTGGAGGACGATAAGATGAACGGTCAGGTTAGTTAGGTCATTGTGACAAATTCAGAAGGTATTTATCGCGACGGTTTCCATGGGGAACCGCGTGGAGATCAGTCTGACATAGTACATTGCTAGCAATGGGGTCATTAGTCGACATTACTAACAATCCCCTTCCCCCAATAGTGTATTTTAGGATGTACATAAAGCTGGCGGCGCGGCAGCAGCAGCGGGAACGGGAAGCAGCTATAACTTGTTTATAAAATAGTATGGCCGGGTAAATGAGGTCAGATTTCTTGTATATTCTATAGAGCTAGTACTTTGTCATACATACTATTATTATAATACTGCTGCTGTTCCCGCGACTTCATCCGCGTGGAATTTAACTCTATTTTACTAAAATAAAAGATTTTTTCTAAAATAAATGTAGCGTAGGTGATTCCTAATTACATCAGTTACCTGCCAAAAAAAGTCCCGTCAAAATCGGTCCAGCCATTTCAGAGATTAGCCGGAACAAACAGACCGACAAAAAATATAAAAAATGTTTTTTGGTATATGTAACGTATACATATTCATATGCAAGTAGTAGAAAACTGTTATTTCAATATTACAAACAGACACTCCAATTTTATTCATATGTATTGACTGTCATACATGTACTTATTATATGATAGGATATTATTTATTACAATATCATATCTGTAATTATTATACGATAGGAAGATATTTAATTTACTGAAATCTTCTCTCAGTAAATAAAAAGGTTAATACAAAGCAAATAAATCAGTGCAACTTCACGGTCACACATACACTAATTGACTGACGGCCTCGGTGGTCTAACGGTTTAGCACACCGCTTTACCTCCGATCGCGAGTTCGGTTGCTCGCACGATACAAATATTTGTTATTCATGAGTAGGGTTATTTGTATTGGTCTGAGTACTCTGAGTATATTCTAAAAAAATATCTTTCTATTTATATCAGTTGTCTAGTACCCATATCACAAACACTGCATACTGATGGCGCTGTGTTAATTGTCCAGGGTTATTTATTATTTATTTATTTGGTAAGTAATGAATGTTAATACATTGTTCAAGTTAATATATCATTTACAGAGGTTGTTGACTGTAGAGGCTGAACTTTTCAAGAAATTAGATGGATCCCACATTGAGATAACATTTTTAGTAAAGAGTGATGAAGAAGAGGATGAACAAATAAGTGTAGTACTCATGTTGGATTATAGAGTCTATGACATTAGACCGAAAACTTTCAACATCAGGGAAATTGGTATGTAGGTATTATATCTATAAATAGTATATCTTTGCTTACTTCTTTTACACTAAGCAACGGAATTTGAGACGGTTTTGTTTATAATTTCGATTTCTTCCAAGACATTTAATAGAAACATGTTATACATACATTTTTTTTAACATGTGGGAAAATCTTCAAAAGACCTTCATTCACCCCGCTGGAAGGATGGCGGGGTATATGTGGGATTTTTATCCACTAAATACCACACGATGTACCTGCAAGCGCCTATGCCAGAGCTGGGGGTTTCGCATGTGCATTCCACCCCGGCTCCGACGGCATGTTATATAACCTCCTCTAAAAAGAAAAGTATTCCAAATCCTTTTGAAGATAAATTATAAATTCGAAATAATTTGCTACTAAAAATTAAACTACAGATTTACCAGACGGCGCAGCTGACGCGTTGAAGGAACAGTGTATGGTTTTTAAACGAAAACCTTTGAGGAAGGCCTTTAAAGAGGCGTTTCTTGATGGCGTTGGACAATACAAATTAGTACGACAGGTTAGTTAGAAAAAAAGTAAATTTAAAATATACTACTTAAAATGACCACACTGCAGTTTGAATATCTTTATGTGGTTTTAGAAAACATTGCTGTTGAGTTGGATTATATTATTAGTTTGAACTGATAATGTGAACCATCTTTAATTCGTAATTAGTTTGCTATAGCTACTAAATACTGTGACTTTTATGAATGTATTAATACATTTTAAAAATGTATGTGTAGTCTGTCTATACTAACCCTTCTATGTTTCTGGACACTCTTGTCTATACTAACCCTTCTATAATGTTTCTGGACAGGTATGTACGGCTCCTGAAGGTCCCCGACACGCTCACAAACGTCGTCCGCAGACACACTACAACAACGACGACACATTCCGCCCTGAAGAGTGTTCGGATCACAGCGACGACGATGACAACAAATGACGGGTTTTCCATTATTAAACGATTTAAAATTATACTATATACTATTTTTATTGAACATTATTACTTAATTATTGACTTGCTACTTAACTATTTCTTTATATAGTCCGACAGAAAAATAATACGATCAGCCGAGACGCACTTTTCCATAATTATCCACAAAAAACAATAACTTACAACTTACTACAAGGAATAATTCTCATTTGAAAAATTGCCAACCATACAGCTTTGTAACTCTAACCTCTTATACAATATAAAATTGCGTTATGAAGGTCTGTGTGGCATGTCATATGTAAAGGTTTAAGGTAGTTGGAAAAAACGGCCGGCACTTATCGATATTGACATTTTTAGCTCGTGTCAGCGGCTAGTGCAAACTAGTCGAAATGTCGAAAGAGGTAAATATCTTTATTTACAATTAAATTATTTGTGTTAAAATCGGATTAACTACATATATTACTAATGTCATCCCAACATAATATTTTAATTAATATACATAAGATTTTATTTTACTAAACTAACGTTCAGGCTTCGAAAAAGGAACAATAAAAAAATAGTTATATAATTATAAACTTTATTTAGAATAAAAATAAAAAATGAATTTATACAACTCTCATTGCCTACACAAGTACTCACATTGCAACTGGTATCAATATGGTAGTGTCACTGACTAAAATATACACATAGGAAGATGTTTTGAGAAACTATTTTGTGCGCTTATTTTACATATACTTACAATATCAATAGAGGTAGTCTTTATAAGTGAATCGCACTACGTCACTTCTACTCTATTTAAATGCACTTTTAGAATACAAATTAAACATTTCAGTCTACTTGTCTTAATATGCGCATTACATTCCTGTGCACGCATTTTTCAACTCATTATTTTTTGTGACTATTGTTATATTTAAAATATATGTAAATTATATATCTATCCATTCTCTATATTAAACTGTAAGGAAAAATGTAAACGACTTTAATATATGTATAATTAATATAAATAAAATATATTACCGTAGCATATGACATTTGACTATCCCATGGGATTGGGATTACACTTGTGACCATTTGTCTGACTTCAAATTGTTAAAAATAGACCTATTAGATGTCAAATAAAATTAAACCGTTTACATGTTCTTTCACAGTTGTTTTTAATTAGCTGTCAATAGAAATGCAAGTGATTAAAATAATCACATTGAGCTTCTAATTATACTAATTAACACTTATTAATAAGTGTTAATATTTTTACAATATATATCAGTTTCATTACATTATGCTTATTTTGGTTTCATTACACAGACATAGGCGATTTTTATAGTTTTCTGCCGAATTGGAACAGAATTCATATTCATAGAATTTTATTCAATAGTGTTGTATTATTACCCAAATAATGGGATAAAAGCAAAGGATCTACTATAAACATTGTATTGCAACAGGAAACATTATTATCGCTCTTCAGTATTGGTCTGTGTAGGTGTTTAAAAGAACAAAAGTTGAATAAAATTAAATATTTGTGACGTAAATAATAAAAATGGTAAAAAATAGTTTAACTAACATTGCAAACGATATTAATAAATCATTAACAATTGCTGGTGGCAATTTTTTCTTAAGAGAGCACTATTTGTGACGTGTTACTATATTTTCATATAAAAAACAACAGTATTACTTATTACGAACATTAATTTAAATAATTATTTGGTATACTGGTTTTACACTATTACCAATTCCAACAAGCTTTGAGCATTCAATTTAAAAATAAATTTTATTCATATAAGACACTTTAGTTTCGGAAATTTATTTTATATGTGTTAATGTTGGTAATTGTATATAAAGAGATATGCAAGATTAGGCAAGCTATACCTAATATGCTTTCCACATATGCATTAGCGCTTATAGGCAGTTTCCGCATTTGGTAACGGTATACAACCAGGATATAAGAAAATTGTAAACATTGCACATACAAAATGGTTCTACAAAATTTGTGACACGTATTTAATGACACCTTTAACACTCGCATAAATTCGCAAATATAAAATTATAAACATGTGTGTTCATAGCACATTAAAATGGAAGAATAAAGTACATATATATTATATTAAATAAACGGCTTAGGGAGTTAATACATTATCAAATATATAGATAAGAATTATGTACATTTTTTATAAATAAATATTAAAAACAATAAAAATTTGTCTCACTAGGTTATGTATAACACACGGCAAATAAAATTATGACATTAAAATGACATCATTAGGTTTTTAAATTGACATAACTATAATTTCGTATATGGGATAGTGTAATAACCCCTAAGAAACTACAAGGCATGTTGGGATATATCCATAAAATACGCAATTAATTTAATCTACACTCGAAGATTTGCTAGTTAATATTCTGTATATATCTTTATGTTAAATCACCTAAGAGGTTTGCTGAAAGAAAATACAGATTATACAAAATATTTAATATTCTAATTCCACTAAGTTGTACCGCGTAAATGAAGTTTCATGTGCGGAGGACAATCTGTATTTTATATCTATTAGATTCAAAATTTCTATAATTTAATTTATTGAGTACCAAATGTTCTGGAATCACTTGTAGTTTTTGTATGAAAGAGTAACAATTAAATATCCATTCATCTTCACAAACTTCCGCGTTTACAGTATTCCTAATAACATTATAATTTACAATATTATTAAATTTATAATATTAATAGGATACGATTTCGACCCACAATATACCTTAATGTACGTTTCTTTTAAATCCATACCACACAGAGATCCCACTTTATGCACTCCAGTCATGTTTTAATGTGTTATGAACTGAATTTACTGTTTATACCTCACACACCCCTGTTGGGCAATGATTTCACTTTGTAAATCCGAACGAGCCAGTGCTCGGTCGTGTATGCTTCCTCCAAAACGTCCAAATTGAAGTCTTTATTGCCGATCTCGGCGCCGCGGACGCGGTCGAATCCGGGTGGTCGTCCTATAGCACATTAAAGGATAATATTATTTTTTATCATATATTTTTTTCTACTTACATATAAATAGATATATATATATATATATATATATATATTTATAATTATAATCCCAGAGTAGTCAGAGGTATTGTGAACTGTCGAGAAACATAAAAAACATCAATATATGTATGTATCACCAGCTCACCCGCGCATCTTCTTCACGATCATAATTAGTTGACATTTATTATTACATCACGCCCAATTTACTTAATATGTTTATAAATTATAATCTAGTTTTATCAAACTAGACTTCATTAATTCTGTATTAAAGCGTTTTTAATAAACATACATAAAAACATATATATTTAAGAATGGAAAAAGCTAGCAGCATAGGTAATGTCAAAAATGTCTCTGGCATAAAAAAACAGATTATAATTTGTATGTGAAAAAAATAACAATGTCGGCGTGCTCACCTCCCTCCGTGTAGACGAGCCCGAACTTGTAGTAGCTCATCTTGTACATGAGGCAGTTGAGCAGCGTGGCGGAGCCGTCCGCGTCGACGCGGAACTCTCCGGCGGGCGTGTAGTAGTCTGCCTCGCGGATGTGCGCGCCGCGGTCAGTGCTGCCGCCGATCCTCACCATCCACAGGAACTTGTTGATGTCTGCCACCACAATAACGGTTACAATTGCTGGACGAACTATTCGAGCTGGCCAATTTAACCGTTAAAGAGCGAAGAAGATCGCGGTCTGCACTTGTTTCCCAAAATTGACAGGAGAGCGATAGCGCTCCCAAAATCAGTTGCCGTCTAGCGCTCCGAAGGAAAAATTAGATTTGGACAATTTTTTTGAAGAATTTGTATTTTTTTGGAAGTGTCTATTTTTAGTTATTTGATAGTAGTTAATTGCAGATTGATTTTGTTACATTTTCTCGACATATTATTGTAGTGGTGTTTAACAACCAGATTTCAATGTGTTACGATTTGCGCGACTATTGTGTAAATTTTATTAAGACTATAAACATAATCTTCACGTAAGTTTGATCAATATGTTGATTTCTCTTTCAACTTTGTCACATTATATAATAATAACAATATTTATGTCTCAAATAATAAACTATTACAATTGCTGCTTACAATAAAATTAAGAGATCTTAATCGAGACCAAACGGTCTTTAATTCACAGTGAGTGAGGGCAGTGAGTCCACCATTAATACAATAAAAATCAGCGACGACGATATACGATAGGCCATTGGTTACATCATTTCACAGGGGACCCGGGGGTCCCGCGTGTAAGTTGTAATTGTAAAACTTACCGTCAGACGAGTATCCAACCAGTCCACCGAATATGACAAGGACGTAGTCCACATCCAATTCTCGCATGATCTCGTACGCCTTATCCTCAGTGGATGCCATCGCTTGACCGACGCGTGATATATGTGTGTTGTTCCACGTGTTATTATCCACTATCACTGTACGATTCGCCATTGCTGTTATTTGATAGCCGTAGTCCCACCACGACATCACTTTTGCATCCTACAAACATAGCAGAATCATTTTATAATATTACTAATTTATTAATAAAACTTTGTACATTTCCGTGGGTAATTCTATCCTACACATTTCGTCCGGCTCGCGCGATCTTTCTCGTACTCTTTATCTACATTTACATGCACATTTTTTCCTGCGTGAAAGCAGATTTGCGCGTGATAGATCGTACGTGCAGCTAATAAGACATTTTTTTTACAATTCACACAGCGTCATCTATTCTAAAGCTAAGCAGAGCTTGTGTTATGAGTACTACACTACGGATACAAATACTTATATATTTTTTTATGAATAGATACATAGAACATTCAGATCGATACAAACAATCATACTCATGAATACGAATGTTTGCACCATGAGAGGCTTCGAATCCGCGAAGTCCTTTACACAATAAGGATTAAAAGTCCTTCGCTCGTCTAAAGTGAGAACTAACCTCAGCGGTGTTCATCTTGAGCCAGGTGTAGGCCTCGCGGAAGTCGTCGAAGATGATCCTGGCGCCGTCGTGTGCGCGCGCCGACAGCACGATGGACGGCGACGAGTACGCCTCTGACGTCACCCACGTGCAGTGGAACACGTACGACACCAGCAGGCAGCCCAGCACGCACACGAACACCGCGCCCACCTGTTACACGAGCACTGCACATTATACTTTATAACCTATAGACAATTGCTCAGGAGCATAAATTACACGCGCCAAGGAATGAACGAGGCTGACCACACAGGTACTCCGCGCTTTCCTACTCATTATAACACACGCAGCCGGGGAGGAACTTGTTAATACTGATCAGGTCGATCTACCTCCACACAGCCTTTACGCAATTTCACTAGGGGTTAACTGACAGATCAAAAGAAGTAGGTACATATAGTATGGGAGCGTAATCCACATGACAATTTTACGCTTTACAACACATACTTAGTGCGATACGACGCGCCAATAGAAAAACAGCGTAAGTCATCATTTTTGTATGGAATATCTTACTTAACTGCCTACGTAATATGTTATACTTTAAAACTTTAAAAACAATTAAAGAATGTCGTGACTAAACAATTTAAGTGAAGTAATAATAAATCTGTTTCCTGATATGAAGAATTATTTCATTTGGTTGGCTACGTAGCCAATTAATTACCTTTGTTTATATGTGTTGAAAAAGATGACAAGAGGAGTATGTTTGCGTATTGGCGATAGTGATTTTCTAAGTACATAATTTCGTATCATTATATTTCTGTTTACTTCTTTTTTTACGGTCCTAACAGTTGTAATAAAAATATTTCATACCTCAGAACGGAAGACGAGATTATTTTCATGTTTCTTCTTTTTCTCGTGCTTCTCAACTTTCGGCTCAATATCTTTCACGTGCAAACTGAGCAGACTGGATGCCGCCACACCCGACACTATGCACATCACCGGAGCCAGTACCAGCATCAGACGGACCATCACGCCCTGCACAATACGAACATTACAGAGGTCTGAGTATATTGGTTATACGTTGATGAAGTTATAGGATGTATGAAAATATCAGCGATCAAAGTGTAATTGGTCACAGCGCGGAGTCAACGGAGAGTTGCTCGACATTGTCATCAACACGCTCAAGCTTCGATTGTCATCATAATATATAAGAATAGAATGATCAAAACGACGGTTTCAGTGGTCTAGCGGTAAAGTACACCACTTTACTTCCAATGGTTCGATTCCTCGCACGGTACAAACTATTCATGAGTGTGATTGTTTGTATGGGTCTGGTGTTTTCTATGTATAATTTGACGGCTTTAGTGTCTAGCAATTTAGCACACCATTTTATTTCCTGTTGGAAACTCCAACAAAAATAGGTACTAAAACGTCCTCAATAATTTACTTCATAATATTTAAATATATGAAGTGTTTTATAATTATTTACAACGAATACACCTTGTTGAGATTCACACATGGTCACTTATTCGACACCTCTCACAGTACAAACATTTGTAATCTTGAGAAAGATTGTTTGTATCAGTCTGGGTGTTTTCTATTATATTTTATTAGTATTTATATCACTTGTCTAGTACCCATAAAGCAAACTCTACATAGCGTGTAAAGTGTCTGGCATGGCTGTGAACGCTTCGTGAGTTCCTTCAAAAATAAATTCTATATAACCATTTAATTCATAAGTTAAACAGCTTCTTTTTTTATATTAACAAACATGACATGATTAATGGGTGGCTCCTAAGTTTCTTTAAAGATATATGTAGTATATTTTTTGAACCTCAAAATCTTTTTTAAATATTAATATGAGGTGGTTAATGAATGAACCCTAAACATTAGATGATTATTGAAACATCAAATTAATGAAACAAATACTTACAGCAAAATATATACTGAGAACTCCGTAGAGTATGATGAATATGTTAGCATCTGTCAACTTGCTGAAGCAGAAGTACAGTCCCGCGGGGAACAGGAACACGAGGACTTGCAGGTCAAAGTAGAAGGACGACCACGACGTCGGCTGGTGCTCCGATACGGACGCTATGATGGGGATGTGGTTCTTGGCGTACGATGGATCCAGTAGTGAGTAGAATCTTCCAGTCCATGGTGATATTTTTCCTGTAAATCATCACACAGTCATTGTTTTGATGTTACAAAGGTGAAATTAGATTGTCTCTTTAAGATATTAGTATATAGGTGTTCTCACCTACATACATTATATTAGATATAACGAAAAATGCAAGCAAAAAAACGTAGAACGAGAACGGGCCTCCATTCTGCACAATCCAAAAATTACCAGAAAGCAGAAGGAACTTACCAGTAATTGTGAGTGCAAGCACGGCGCTACCGAGAGTGGCGAGCAACGAGAACAGCAACGCGCGGAATAGCAGTTCGAAGTTTGCTGGCGACAGTCTAGCGCGAAGGTATTGAGTGAACGCCACCAGCTGGCACAGACCGAATGTGCCCAATGCCTGCGCACACACAAACACACATTATCATTAAACATAGTGTTAGTGTCAACTACAACCGTTCGCAAGCGTGCCCGCTAAATCAGACTTCAGTGACTACAACGCCATCTACTTTCTCAGTGAGATATATTTTAATTTGTTATTATTTTAATTGACTGTACTAAGTGGGACTGGTCATCCGCAGACAGAGTGAGCCCGGTATCAAATCCGGAAGCAACAGCCCTCGGGGATAAAATATCTTCATCTAAATTAACATAAGCTAGGGACATAATTTGATAAAAATATTTATAATTAAACTTAATCAAGCTTAAGAAATATTGGTTACTTAATTAGTTGGATTAAGTTTATTTCATTACACCGACTTTGTGTGTAATTCCTAGAAATGGAAATGCATATACGTATGCATTCTTCTCAATTGGATCTATATACCGAACTGGACGGTAGGGAAAAAATTATAATGTAAAAATTTGTCGTTAATAAGTGGCTAAAATGTCCTACATGAATAAATTATTTTGAATTTGAATATAGATGATGGACGCTACATCCCAACAGGTGGTCCATGAATTTCTCTGTCATTGCAAACACAAAAAAATACACTATCGCGATGACCTAAAGCCTAAAATTGCAACAAAGGTCGTTATCAAGTAATTCGCTTATCTACAATATGTAAAAAATAATTAATACACGCGGAGTTATCGAATGTTATGTTTTATAAATCACAAATATGAAACAACATTGGCCACGGTATTAGTGTTATGAAATTAAAAGATGGTAATATTTTTAGGTACACTAATATAATCGCTCACTGCAAATATCTTGAGTTTTGGAGTTATTTTCAAATATGTCTATCATCACGGTAGACCTGTACACCCAGTAGACAGGGAGAATAACATGCAATAGGCTTCTCCATTTAATAATAAAATCCTTTTCTTACTAATTATTTTTTGTTTTAGCACAAATCCTATTAGGTTGGTAGTTTTGCTTCATGTATTAATATAATAATGAATGATCCAAGTAACTTATGTATGAACTTAAGTCAATGGCACACAACTTCCTGCATACCCCTTTAAAGATCTGGTTGGGGGATAGAAAAAATAAAAATAAAACTATAACAAACTACAGCGTGGTGGTTATCACCTCACCACTGTCGCGTTATATATGATGTGATGAGGTGTCACTACTAAATAGGTATATGGTTTATTGTAGTATGTAAGTAGTGAGTATATTAGGGAAATAATTGTACTATTTATATATATTTATATGCTTTAGTAAGTTGTTTGGTAGAGTGCTACATGGCTAAATAAGTAACGCGTACATTTGTTGTGGAGTCGGAACGTAGACTGACTTTACATTTAACTTAAATCTATGTCACTGGAGACGTAATCTGATGGAAGGGTCTCAAGAGTTGACAGAAATATTACAAGTATGGCCAGAAAACGATAATAAAACTTACCAACATATGTTCCGAGCTTTGAACAGGTTGAAAACCAACAAATGGTATCTGCATGGACAGGATGGTACCTACGCAGTAGAGCGTGCTGTAGGCGACGTACACGCGCACAGAGAACCGGCCAAGCAGCATCAGTGCGAGCACGTGGAGCGGCATCAAGTTGATGAGGAACACATACCCACCCCACGAGGACACCTGACAATATATGAAATGAATTAATTTTTTTTTTATTTAATTATGTATTTATTTCGTATACCCATCCAAATTATAAAGTATGTTAGTAAATTAAAACATATATCTTTCAATTCATATTTTAGCAACACGCAAGTTTCTTTTCGATCTTCTTCTGCCCAGTATGTGTACTGAATGAGTGGTAGAATAAAAATTAATGACTATTCAGTAAAGTAATGTATGCATATAAATAAAGTACATTTCTATTTTTATATATCTATGCCTAAGTCCAGATGCCCTAGGTCCGCAGCAGTGCAATAATATTCAGTGCCTCTGGAGTGGAGAATGAATAGACAATATTTGCTATATATAATTTTACTAACCACTAGTAATATTTGCTACAGTAAGCATTTATTCATGTAGAACATTTTTGCCACTTATTGTGTACTTGTATGAATAACTCAAAATCAAATTAGATAATAAAAAAATCTCAGATCTCTAATATCTTTGAGAGATTACTGTACAGTTTATTTGTTTAAATGAAATGAAAAGGCAGTGAATTTACAGAGTATGAAACAATTTCCAGTGGCTTTAACCTGTGTGATGTGACAGGTGTAACTTCAAGTATCTTGCCTCGATAAATCTGGCAGTATCCTCTCTATTTTATTTTATCTATCTATTTTCAATGACAATCCATATTGAAAGAAGATGTAACTATTTTTAAACAAATAAAGTCTAATCTGTTAAGCTAACTGACAACAACAATTTGCAATTAAAATGTATGAAAGAGCAAAAACCAACATGTAATAAAACAAATGTTGGTGAGAAACTTTCATCTAAATGTTCTATGATTAACATTTAGCTCACTGCAAACAATACAATGAACTAAGTTAAATTTATAACTTTTTTAAAGTTAATCAATATATATATATACATATATTATTATAACAGTGGAAACCCTATATAACGGCCTGACAGAGTCAATATGAAAATAAAATATATAGAGACAGATTATTATATCTGGATATAGGAATCATGTTTTGTAGTTCTATCATCATCATCTGCTTCTTCCTTATCCCATTTATTTGGCGTCGGCGTAATATGTTTTTCTCTTCCATTCATCCCTGTTCACAGCCATCTCGCTATTTACATCCTTTCTTACCATATCATCTTTCACACAGTTCATCCATCTCTTTGGCCTTCCCCTGCCCTTATGACCATCCACATTCATATGTAACACCTTCCTTAAAATATTATCTTGATTCATACATGTCTATACATATTGTGTAGTTCTATCAATGTCGTTATCTCTGATTTGTACTGTACATCTTTAAGAGATACATAACGACCACTCTGGGCCTTTATATCTCACAGAGCCTATTTACTCCTTTTAGTCATGCAGTGATTGTGACAGCTTATCTATATAAATAAGTATTATAAGACAATTGTGGGATAAATATAATTAAAGTATTTGTAGTTACCATCCATTCTAATATTATAAATATGATAATGTGTTTACTTGTCTGTTTATTTGGTTATTATTTTTCCCGAAAAACTACTCAACTGATACAAGTCAAATGTGACCTGAAGGTAATGGGATGAATATAATAATAATAATAATCTCAGGACAATTAATACAGCGCCATCTAGGCCCAAGTTAAGCTAGCTAAAGCTTGTGTTATAGGCACTAGACAACTGATACAAGTACATAGATTATTTTCGTAAATACATACATATTATACCTATGTATAATATGTATGTATTTACGAAAATGATTGTTTGTATTGGTCTGGGTGTTATCTATATAACACCCAGACCAATACAAACAATCATACTAATGAATATAAATGTTTGTGCCGTGCGAGGAATAGAACCCGCAACCATCGGAAGTAAGGTGGTGTGTTACACCACTAGGCCATTGAGGCTGTGAATGCGAATGGACATAAAGTTTCTTCATATTATGTTAAGTCTCTCCAACAGAATTAGTAAAAAAGTAAATAATGCAGTCACAATTTCAATGCTAGTTCTAATGCTAAATTCATCACTCACCATGTAGAAGTAAGCTAGAGCAGTCATGGTGGCCCAGAGTATGGTGCCAGTGTTGATAGCTTTAATCCAGAAGTAGTAGGTGAGTAACATGCAGAATATGGCTATTCCCTCATTGTCGTAACTGCCGGCGACCGATCGACTGATGTAACCAGGTACAATGGCGATCATTGCAGCTGCCACAAGTCCAGCACCTTCATCCTGAGAAATCAGAATTACATACATATTTCTTTTTTTATATACCGATAGCTGTATCAGCAACTTGGTCCGCTTGGAATTTAACATTATTTTTCTAAAATAATAGCAGCCTAAGTTACTCCTTATCAGCTACCTGCCAAAAAAAGTCCAGTCAAAATCGGTCCAGCCATTTCAGAGATTAGCCGGAACAAACAGACAGACAGACAGCAGACAAAAATTGTAAAAAATGTTACACCCTCATGTAATAATAACAACAACAAAATGTCACCTGTGCCAATGGAAAATCCTGGCAGGGCAATGTATTGTATTGTATTGTATGTTGGACTCCAGTCTTTGCAATTAGCTCTAGCTCTAGCTCTAGCTTAGTCTCTGCTCTTATCACTAGGACTAATTTAATCTTATTGCATATTTATATTTGACCCAAAAATTAGTGCTTGTTGGTAGTTTGTATTCACACGTTTCGACTTGTAAATGTAGACATACAAGGATTATTTAAAAGAGCAACACACAAGTTTCTTGCTCGTTCTTCTTGTGATGAGACAGCTTTCCGAACGAGTGGTAGATAAAAAACAAATTGTTATGACTATTCAAAAGTGCTTAAATTAAGTTTATTTGAATAAATGAATTTCTATTCTATTGCCTCTCTAGCAGGGCAATGTTATTCTACCTTTGTTCCTTTTCTCTAAACAAATTTCCCAAACTAAATTTAACACTAAATTAATTATACTGTACAAACCTTCAGCTCCTTGGTGAGCAAATAAGTAACAAGAGTGGTGAGAGAAGAGAAGAATGGCGCCAGGAACACACACACATTCCTGATGTCGATGGTGATGTTCAGGAACTGCATTATGTTGTACAATGTGGCGGAGGTCACCATCAGGCCAGGGTATATTGTTCCTATTCAAGAAGAGGACAACTTTGTATATAATTTAAACAAAATCATATGATTAGATGATAGTTGATAATATGTATGGGCCAATGCATATTGTATTGTTTTTTATTACAAAATAGTCAATGACATCAATATATTATAAATGTTAATGTTTGTTTCCTCTTGGACACTTTGTTGTAATATTAACATAACCTTTCCCTTGGGGATTAAAATACCCCCAAATGGGTTATTTTATTTAAAAGGATATTTTAGGGTTTGAATAAATTTGGTGGGCAAGTTGTTTCACAGATTATAAGTAAATTTTCTTGTATGATGTTGTGGGTAGAAACTACTAGTATTTATAATTTATATGAATCTGAGCTATAAATAAATCTTTAAGACTATTCACCAGTTGATGTAGGCCTGAGGAGAGTATGGGATTCTAATAGCATAAAAAACCACAAGCTATACAGAGGTACAGCTCTGTGGGGGGCTATTTCTAGAGTCTATTAGATTAGAGATTTGCTAATGAGATTTAGCATTCTACCGCAACAAAGATTTATCATTCAATAAATTCTGTTCAAAGAATTTTATTCAATCGTTAGGGACCTACCTCCAATAATACGCCCCAAGGGGTACCATGCTCGATCGTCAAACCAGTTATGAAACTTATAAAATCCCTCTTGTGTGAGAAATCTAGTTGTCCTGTAGTTGAAGTATGGATCAAACTCGTGGATGACACTTTCGAAACGTAGCACAGAAAACAATCGTGTCGCAAATGCTGAAATAGATAACAATATAAAAAACCTATACAGTGCTCTTATGGATTGACTGGATAATAATTTTATAGTGATAAGTACATTTTCCTATTCATTCTCTCTAATAATGATCACTATTATATTTCAAAATCAAGAAGGATTTTAGGTAAACATTCCAAAATAATATCACAATAAAGAAGAAATATCCTAAATATTAAAGAGAACATTTAACAGACAATGATAATAATTACACTTTACTTTTATAATAGACACGTCGGTTGAAGTATTTGTCCTAAAAACATAGTACTTAAATACGAAACTATATTTCTTTTGGCTGAAGTCAGCAGTTTATGCGGCGGTATCTTATCGGCAAAAACCACGTAAGTAGTTAATAAATGAAAAGTATTTAAAATAGTATTATTGTTGTTGGAATGCATAAACATTAGTTGAGCAGTACAAAAATAGGGAATTACTAAATGAAATAGCTTACATAGAATCGCTGCCATGGATAAAATAGCTAACTTTAGAAATGTTAGTTGTTTTTCGGACGAAAGATGAGGCAGTTTTGCCTTACTCTGCACGTCCGCCGTCATGTTGATTAAGTGTTTTCTATGCGATTTTATTTAATATTACATAAATAAAATTAGCAATAATTAAAATAATATAATATTATCCACCGGCAACCTATTGAGATCTTTAACACGGCGGTGAAATAGTAGAAAAGCAGATTAGGATTGACAGCTCATAAGCGGCGTGGCAAAGATTGTTGCTATTATATTTCTAAAAATATTCTAAATGCATGTTTGGTAGATAATATCTACTAAATTTAAAAGGCTTTCTTATGAGGCATATCGTTTTAAATTATACTTTACAAATGGTTTTATTGAATAAATAAAAAAAGTTAAAACTATAAGAAACATAATTTATTATTATTATTATTAGTCTTCTTCCAAGTAACTTATTTACACCACAGAAATTGTAGTGATAACTTGCTCAGTGTTCTCACTAAAATACTACTAATAATTAAAAAAAATGAGTCTGCGACTAGATAGTGCTACTTGTCATATATTTGTTTGACGTTAACTGATCTTCTTGAGTGCTTAACTGACAGCAAAATTTGACATTGCAAATTTTGCAAAAAGCACCCAAAATTCATTTAATCACCCACTTCATCTTCATCCATTCAATACTACTTTCTTATTTATCGGTACTACAGATTTATTTAATGTAATTGTAGGGTAACAATAAAATAAATTCCTTAGCCATCACTCTTATATCTCAGTGTAATACTGAAGGTTAAATAAGAATTTGGTAATTTCGGGTTCATCAGTGACTAATACCGTAACAACTTAGACGAGGCTACAAATTTAGTCGGATATGACTATGTGCTAAGTGCTGTGTGGTGTAGGAAAGTGCTAGGCGTGTGATGTCAGACGGCGACCCATCACTTGAAGAGGACGTGCCGAAGCCTCTGTTGGAGAAAGCAGAGGAGAATGTGTTTACGCCGAAGATAGCAACACCTATATATACTGGTGGCGTGAAGCTGCACCACAAGAGGTCAGACGCAGCAGAAACTGAGGCGTTCCTGAATGACTCTGATCGCAATGATCTCGCCTTCAGACAGTTATTTCAGGATGGAGATGCAGAATTTCAAGAGGTTAGTATATGTATTGTCACACTTATATAAACCCAATATGTTGTAACAATTAGTATATGTCAAGATGTTTGTTACTGTTTCATGTGAAAGCTATTCAACAAAGTAACATTAAATTTGGTACACAGATATTTTTTTACCAGAAATCTCACTGCAATGTTACACCGTTCTAGTTCTAATGAGAAATGTATAAATATTTTTCTTATGTATAAAAAAAAATTATGTTTGTTTGTCTCCCTAAAACTTGAAAATGGTTAAGCCAAATTGGCTAATTTTTGTTTTAAAATATTTGTGAACTCCAAGGAAGGTTTACTTAGTAAGAAAATATGAAGAAATTCCATAGAAAGAAGTAAAAAGGATAATTTTATTTTCACATACAAATTGTTCTTATGTTTCAAACAGTTATTGAACTTTGACACTATTCAATTCTGAGGCGGAATGAAGTTCACGGGTCAGCTAGTTGTATATATAGAAAATTAAAATATATTTAATTTAATGCATCAAAAAGAATATGCCATTTAGATATGGTATTCAGTAATAAGTTCGTCATCACACTGTCATTTAAAAATGGATTATTATGTTTATGTCTTTGTATAGATGATTTGGGAGAAACCATATTTATTATCCCCTATCTGGCTAGTTAGCTCTGCTATAGTATATCAATAGACAATGACATTGTACTCAATAAATAATAAAATCTTTATTTTGACCAGATATGTGTACAATATTATAGAAATGAAAATGAAAGAATGACATTCATAGAAATATATGTATAGATTGTAAAATACAGTTTCTGTATATCTTTGTCACAAAATTTTGTAAAAACAAACATTTTGTATTTTGTTTTTATTAAATACACTTCTTTTATCTACTTACATACTTAGGTAAAGTTTCCTTGTGCCTATTCACTTCTGTATTTAGCTTTTAGTGAGTCATAATATTGTATTCACATACCTATGTTATCTCAACTCAATTTATTTGTACACAACATTAGAGTTGGAGTTTAACTAGCATCCCAATATTTTAGTAATATTGTGAATCCAAGATATGTCTAGTCATGAATGTTTACTGTATGAATACAGATATTTCGGATTTACATCCTCTACAGCAGTGTTTCCCAAAGGAGCCCACTCTCCACCGAAGGTCTATTTGATTGTTAAGGGGTGCAATTGTAAAATGGGCTGTTTATTAAAATGATAGGGAATGTAAATTTTATTTTTTTACTATGTTTTGAAAAATTAGTGACTGTTTCAATTAGCAATTTCCTAGTGATATCTTCCTCAAATCTATTATTTAAGTTTCTTAAGTGAATAATGAAATTTTTTATTATTTATAATGGCTAATGGTTCTAAAAAGGTTGGGAAACACTGCTCAACGGATGCTTATAATAAGTCAAATATATATTATAATAGGCATATTTTACTTCCTCAATATCCACAGTTTTTTCTGGATTACACTGTGGCACCCATGACAAGTGTGATAATGCATACAACTCCTATTTTATCAAATACCTCCTACTTTAAAATTTGGTATATTTCAACAACTAAATAGGCAGTTCTTGAATATATGGTACTGGTAATATCAGTGTACAGGGGTGGAAGAGGACTGCCAGTAATGGAGATTAGTGACTCCATTGCTACTAACAATGTATCATGGCAGGTCAATTTCCACATGGTTTCATGGAAATCATTGTGTTTAATTCTTGTTGATTTGTCACAATGAGTTCACTGGCATAACCTCATGCTTATCCTCCTACCCCTTATACTACTAGTACCCCACCAGCATATTCTGTTAGCACAGTCGAGGGCACTATTCTTTGGTTGTGTATTAATGATATCAGTGTCATGCTGATCATCTGGATGAATGGTGGTCTTTCACCATGCGTTTTTCTGGAAACTTTTTGCGACATACAACTACATTTCGGTATAATCTTCCAGCTATAGTATTTTCGAACAGATATGATATTGAAACTTTAAAAAAAAGAGATACATATTTAAAATGCGGGCAGCACATTTGCAACGCAATTTTCCTGATGTTACGTGTGCTCATGGGCAGCAGTAAACACTTGAGGTGAGCTGCAAGATCATTTGCCCTTTTATCTTTTTTCTATGTATATTATGAAAGTATTTTTAAAAAATCGCAATATTTATATCACTAAAGTACTAGATCTATAACTTGGGGGAGCCCTTTGTTCAACAGTGGATGTCTACCGGGCTAAAATGATGATGAGATTTATAATACAGGTTCTATTTAACTTGTGACTAGATGACCATTTGTTAATTGTCCATAGATAATATTACTATTAATTCGGTCTAAATATATGTATATTCTTTGCATTTGCAGTCCCTTATTTTTTGTTGGCCATATACAACTTATTATTACTATTATTCTTGTGATAATAATGAGGGAAAACCATGTCATTGTTAAAACCGGCTTCTTAGCGGCGTGTCTCTTAAGTGATTATTATTGTTACTTTATATGTACGTACTACCTACAGACCTCATTCACACGAGCGTTACTTTTCTTTACGACTAGTATTTTTATATTGTTTTGGTTCTGCTTAATACCCGGTAAACGCTACCCGATAGATGAAGTGTCTTTATTTCATACTCACCCTTTCATATACACTGGTACCCAGTTTTTCAGTCATCCTCTAATAAAACCTACTAGCCGCTACTAAAAACTACTTTTTTAAAAAATTAGAATATATTTCTAGTTTCGTACTTAAGTAAATGAGGCTGTAGCTGAAGATAACTGACGGCTTCGGTGGTCTAGCGGTCTAATACACCGCTTTACTTCCGATGGTCACGGGTTCGATTCCTCGCACGGTGCAAACATTTTTATTCATAAGTATGATTGTTTATGTAATCTGGATGTTTTCTATGTATATTATGTATGTATTTACAAAAAAATGTAAGTATTTATATCAGTTGTCTAGTACCCATAACACAAGCTCTACTTACCGTGGGACTAGATGGCCCTAGTTGATTGCCCAGGGTGTAGGATATATATATAATTAAATAAATATCTACGTAATAGACGATTTTGTACACAAATCTTTTTTTTTATTGTCAACTTATTTAGCGATGTCTGGACATACGCCTTAATCATCATTTGCTTAGCTTTGAATGGTCTATTAAGTATATAGTGGTCTTATAATTACTTAATACAAAAGTATAATACCATATCAACATGGAAGACATTGTTCGTTATATTTTCCTCTTTTATAGAGGTAATGTTATTTTACCTCAATGAAGCCTTATCTTGTTTCTCCTTTGAAGTTGGTTGAATCTAGACAAGATTCAAGAAAACTCAACGGAGAAAAATATGTACTTCTAAAATTTATTAATGTTAAATAGTTTTATTATACAAGTTTCTATGACGATGGCTGTTCTCAGTATATAAAAAAGTATTATATACTTACTGATTAAATGTAAATGAATATTTAATCAGTAGTGGGCCGTGGCTCGCATTATGAACTAAGCTTCCGTTGGATGATAAACATCTAACTAAATTGTACATTATAAAAAAAAACTGCTGTTTTCATGTGTTGATAGTTTTAAGTGGTTTAATTTAGTAATTGCAAGCGATAAAGGAGTTTTTTTATCATACTAGTTTAAACTAGAAATTAGTTCATCCATAAATTACGACACTCATTAAGAGACGAAGAGGGTTGGGAGGGGTCATAAATGTCGTGACGTCATATTTCGAAATTTATAATATCAATATTTTGGGTGGAATGGAGATTGAAAGTATCGTGTTAGGTACATTGCCAACAATTCATTAAATACCTCCACGCGGTTCCCCTGGAAACCATCATAATAAATTGTGAAATTGTCATGATGGGCAAACTGATCTGACCTCATATTCATCGTTTCCTCCTCCATTGGTGCCACGCCAGCGTAAACCGTTAGCGTAGGCGAGTACACTATTCCATTATGATAAAAAAAACAATAATTCTTTAAAAATAAACCCTATTTGGAATTTTTCATTTTTTTTAGTTTATACAGTTTCCTAAACATTTTATTTGCTCTTTTTTTTTTCGTTTGTTGTTTATATTGTATTTTTTACATTGCACTGAATAAAATATTTTTCTTTCTTTCTTTCTTTCTTTCTCCTTTCTTTCTTTCCGCAAACGACGTTCATACACACAGTTTACTTATTACCTATGTAGACATGTCGTAATTAAAGTGTTTATAATTTCTTCTCAGATTTTTTATGTAAGATCTTTATTATTCACAATTAGCCTTTATAATTATTGATACAGTCCATGTGATTCGCTGTTAATGGAGCGTTCTATAGGTGAGAGAATTTTAATAATTGGTTAAGGACTATTTGCGTTTATCAATTCTAAACAAAATAGATTGTTTTTCTTTTTTTATAATAGTATGTAATTAGAAAAAAATTATATATCATTATATATATATTAATAATATATTTTACCTGCTAAACGTATTTGAGTTTTTCTACGAGCTATTTTTTTAATTAGAAATAAGTTTACTTTTTTTAGATCTTTTTTTCAGGACTTTATTATTACTGTTGCCAGTATATAGTGTCTGTTTTTATATACAGCTATGTATGGAGACCTATTTTACTGACTAACTGTTTCTTATAGATTATATTATAGATTATAGTTAACTTATAGATTGGAGCTGTTGGTTTTTCCAAGTAAATAAAATGGAAGTGTCTGTCTCTTATTTCAAATTGACAGCTTTTCAATAAATGCATATTGAAGTATACTTAGGTATACGGTATTTACATAAAAAAAAGATGTCTGTCTCTCTGTTTGTTTGTTCTTGCTAATCTCAAAAATCAGCCGATTTTTACAGGACTTCACAACCAGGCACCTAAGGTTATAAGGAGTAACTTATGCTACTTTTATTTCAAATATTTTATTTATTTTAATTGTACCCGGACGAAGTTGCCGGTAACAGCTAGTATATAAATTAAAGGGAAAAACAACGTCCGGTGAAGCTGTAAAGGCCAGCTGCGGCCAACAGCATTAGAGTAGTCCGAAAAAAAAAGTGACAAACAGTCGTAACAAAATGGTTAACAGTAGGTTTTAGTTGCAATAAGTGCTTAAATTAAGTACTTGCATATCTTTTATATAACCAAAAAATATGATGCACTACAAGAAGTTAAAATTGTGTTTATCACAAGTACTATAACAACAATGGTTCTGACAAATTGGTGCATATAACGATGCGTTAATAAAGATAATGGAGTCGCTTATCCAGTTAAAGAGCATATTATTTTCAGTCTGGTTAGAACGAGAGTTCGTTCTAACCAGACTGATCAGATATCAGAGTTTCTTAAAGTTGGCGATGACGTTGGAGGTTTTTCTGCGTGATTCATCTTGATTGTCTCAGATATTATACCTTAAATATAAAATATTTCTATGATAGTTACCCTAACCAGTTCGTTTCAGTGGTTCGTCTATTGAGATAGGCTCCACCGTAGAAGCTGCGGAAGAATGCTCAACCGTACCTCCGGTAATAACGAGTAGACGTACATTTTGGGGTTTTACCCGGTAGGAGTCCGGCACTACCCGTTCGTTACCCCTGGAGCGGGAGGGTATCAATGACGCATTATTCAAGGTTTCTATGAGGGATTTCCCAAAAAGAAAAAACTAGTTTGTTTGTCTAGTTGAAACATTTGTATTTTGGTTATCTTCCTTAGTGCTGCGATTTTACGATGCACGACATCATTACGTAGTATAAAACAAAGGCACTGTCCCTGTCTGTCCGTCCCTACTTTAAAACTGCGCAACGGATTTTGAAGCGGTTGTTTTAATAGATAAAGTAATTCAAGAGGAAGGTTTATACATGTACACCCGGACGAAGCCGAGGCGAGTAGCTACTGTTTTTATAAAACTACACGATAAAAAACTATAAAGTCATCTTATTTTGGCCGTGATGGTTTCTACAGGAAATTCAAGTTGTTACATTAGAGAAGAGCACACTTTTCTAATATACTTTACTTCCTGTGGATTAACAAATGATCTCATTACTATAATAAGCGCAGAAATTATTGCGTAAACAAAAATGTTTTTTAAAAAACTTACAATCAATACTTTAATTACAAAACAAGATTTAGAATCTGTGGATTTGATGTACTGTCAAGTACACGTAAAAACGTCGCTCGGTATACATAATCTATTCCCAAGACATGTCTGCACACATTGGATTGATAAGCATAATGGCAAAGTAAGCATGGATGATACGTTTAAATTCTAGTGTTTATATTAATATATATACAGTATAATAAAATTATAAATGAACCATGTCTGTAAAAGTTTTTTTTTTATAAATTGATTATAATGGAGTTCATAATTGAAGTTCCCCCGTTTGAGTTAATGGTTTACCGTGGCGGGGCACCAGTGGAGAATGATAACATGAGGTCAGGTCAGTTGGCTCATCTTGACAATTTCACCAATGTCACGATGGTTTTCAGGGGGAACCGCGTCGAGGTCAACCTGGCATGGTAGATTGCTAGCAATGGGGTCATCAGTCCACATTACTTGTCTTTTCCCCCCGTACGTTTGGGGGAAAGGAGACTGTATATTCTATTTACGTTGTAGAGCTCAAGAATTAAGTATGTGGAAATTTAGCTACCTACTTAAGTTCAATGCCGTTAAGTTCTAAAATGACTTATCAAAAACTTCTTTTTTCATTTCACTGACAAACCTTTTTCTATTTTTTATCTCCGAATTTTTAATATACATTTGATAACCAACTTAATGCTAATAAAGCAATAATAATTAAATCTTTTTGCAAACTGCGTAAAGAGGTCTGTTTTTCACGATTACGCTCTTTTCGTACCGTCTTTTTGTTTACTTTTCGAACTTGTACAGATTATTTATCGAGTGCATCTATTTCAATAAGATCTTCCTAACAGACTCATTTCGGTATATATTGTTTACCAAGCACATACGAAAACGCAAGGAGATTTGGATGCACCGTCACTGCCAGACTTTAGAACGAACTCCGCGATATATACACGCCTCATTTTTTGCATCAGTCTAACTATAATGCTTATCAGGAGTTGTCGCGTTACATTACACACTTCTAATTTTGCGAGTTTACCGTGATGATAAAAATTAAGCGTCTTAATTGGTAGCTTGAGATATAGTCAAACGCAGACAAGTTATGAATCAGTGTCGGTAACAGTGGACGAGTCAAGGTCAGTTACGTACACGGGATTTCAGTTTCTTACCGTTCTCGTCATTGTGATTTCTATAATGATTGCAAGGTGGTGTGTCGATGTGATGTTCTACACTATGTATGACATATCACTTGGAATGAGAAAAATTAGTGCGGCGCACGGGAAACGCCAAGTATGGATGTGTCATTATTTGATTAGGAATATTTAGATACTTAAATGTCAAGTATTGGTTTTGATATTATATAGATTACGTTGTTGTTGTTTAACTCTAGATTACAAATTACTTAATACGTATCAACGTTCTAAATTTAAATGTAGTTATTAAATTTGTGTGAATATATACTTAAATATTATTATTCTGTTGTTTAACTACAGATTACTTAATACTTTTAAACATTCTAAATTTAAATGTAGTTACTAAATTTGTGTAAATAGATACTTAAATATTTACTATACGTTAATATTATTTATAGATTAACTAAATTTATTAGATTACTTAATCGTTACTTTTAAACATTGTTAGATAAATTTTTCATCTATTAAGTTTCAATTTAAAAGGACTACCAGATTTTTATATAACATACATTACTATATAATTATTAATGTTTTCTGTTTATTTAGCTTCAAATAACTTTATCGTTATAATTGAATGTGTCCAGCCAGATTTTAATTTATTTATAAAATTTCCTCAATTTAGTCATATTTAATAATTATGATTCATCTGTTGTACTTCCAGTTCCATTAAAAGGAATCTTTTGAAGGAAGGAAGGAAGTTTCCCTGGTATAACCAAATCTAGTGTATTATTTTTACGGTCTAAACCAAGAAGTTGCGTGCTTGATCGTCCGTCTCTTTCAGCGGTATATATGCAACGATTTTTTAAAAGACCTGACTAACTCAATATTATTGTTATGTCAGGCGGAGAGTAAGGAGCAAGAGAAGATGACCGACCTGCAGGCGATGTCGGTGCTGAGTATGTACCAGGACAATATGTCGCAGGACATGAACACCGACCGGTGAGTGCCGTGGTCATGTTACATTCTATGCAGTTGATTTGTACTAGCAGCTTGGTGGGCCGTTCGCGATCCCAACCCCAATCGAATGTCACAGATTCCAAATTTCCCGCCAAGTTTCAAATTTTGATTTTGTTTTTTTTTTTGGAACGCACATGACCATTGTAATGCACCGCAGTCTTTTGCTTTTCTACGTTTGAAATAGTCCGTTTTTTTTTATAATTCCTTATTAATGAGTCAGTGTTTTATTAGTTTATTGTGTTAACCTGTCTACACTTCCTACCCGGCTAAGTTAATTGTTATAATGTAATAAGTGGCAACACGCATTGAGTAAATAACCACTACGTCTGTAACACGCTATGTGGATTATATTCCAATTACTAAATGGAACGTAACAGTTGTACTATAATAATTTTTAACTTTAGTTATAGGGTTGGAGTACTAAAGTATAGAGATCCCGAGGACAAGAACATTAAGCGCTCTGGGCATGTACCCATGAGTACAAAAATCAAACTGAAAAGTCTGATAGCAATAAAACTACTGTGTACAATGACACTGTTGTTAGAAAAAGTTGAAATGGACAATTTTAGTGGGATTCCTCTATAGATATGCTACTCCAAGTGTAAATACGCTATTAATAGGTGGTTAAGGTCATATTTTAGTTTCTCATCTGCTCATCATTCACCAATAATTTTGTGTTCTCTTACGTCGATCTTGTGTTGTTCATTTATACCAAACTTCTATATACTTCGTAACTTCGCCACATGGGTCAATTCCGGTGACTCTTTATTCCTCTATCCGCTAGCACATGTATTATCTGATGCTTGTTCAGCCTCATTTAGTCTTGATTTATTCTGTTCTTAATCCTTCTTAATAGATATAGATCTCATGTAGTTTGCACCTTTTGTCATATACTCTTGTGTATACAAGTGTAATTTTTCTTATGTAGTGATTTGTGACGTCGTCTATGCTATCTTTTACACCTTAGATAGTAAAGTTCAATGTCCATTTCATCTCGTATCATACATAAGTTCTCCTTTTAAATACTTACCGAAATGTATTACAAGATCCAATTAAATATCATTTATGCAACGCTACTTTGATTTCTTCCCATCATAGGATACGGGCTGTCGCGTTGATGATCATAATAGAAGTACCATTTTATTTTTAGGTAACATCATCTGTATATGCTTTATTTCGTTATTTAGTAGTTTACGTGCTAGCTTATTTGCTTAACTAATGAGCCTTCGTACCATCTGCTAGAGCAAATTGATAATAATAATGCTAAATGTGTGTGTCACAGTGATTGTACCGTATTTGATGGTTTGTGTGCTCGTTGACCTTTGTGTTTATTGTTTTATATGTTATATTAATTGCGCTGGTTTTGTTCTGTATATATATTTTTATAATCCCCGATAAACAGTATTAGTGGATTTCGTGCACAGTTACGATAATGTAAACACTGTGGTACTTTGTCACAGTAAAATTGTTGAGAATTTGTAACATTTTTATATAGTCTTAATAAATTGTTATTGCGACAAGGTATGTGTTTGCATATTATTCGGCTTTGATTAGAATATCAGAGAAGTCTAACCTAACACGATTATTAGATATAGAAAATGTTTAGAATTGTACGTAGTATGATAATAATCTACTAATTTGCGATGCCGTTATAGTACCTTTATACTTTAATACTAAAAAAAGAACTCATTCAACAGTTAACAATGTTAATTTTCCTCGTAATGTCGTTGGAATAAGTATGGTGTATATAACATATTATTACATGTGAGTCACAATGCTATAATGTTCTCCGAGATGTTCAAATTGAATCGCATTAGTAATATGTAGAATACGATAACCTTTATGTATCGACCAATTGAAACAATTGTAGATAGCGGTCATTATGCTTCCGGCCAGCCTCATGGCAAAGAGTTGCTTTTACTATTTGCTGTTCAATGTACTTTACATCATCTTTTGACAATAACGCGCTCGATATGTAATGTATTTTGTTCTAAATTTTAAATTTGTTAGTGTTTTTTTTTAAAAGATGATAATGGAATGGTGCACCCGCCTGCGCTAACGGTTTACGCTGGCGGGGCACCAGTGGAGTATGATAAGATGAGTATGATGTCAGACCAGTTAGCCCAACGTGACAAATTCACCGGGAATGTATCACGATGGTTTCCTGGGGAACTGCGTGGAGATCAACCAGACATGGTACATTGCTAGCAATGAGATCATTACTCCACATTACTAACAATCCCCTTCCCCCAATTTGTTAGTGTTGTATTACAATAGTTTATCTTTGATAGATAGCGGTCATTATGCTTGAGGCCAGCCTCATGGCAAGCAGTTGCTTTTACTATTTGCGGTTCCATGTACTTTATATGAACTATTGACTAAACCGCGCTGGACATTTAATGTATTTTGTATTACATTTGAATTTGTTAGTGTTAGTTGTATTAGTTTGTCTTTGATATTTTATTACTATATACTAATAATATTGTTTTTAATATAATATTAAACAGTATATTGAAGGCGTCGGTGGTCTACCACACACGGCTTCAATTCCGATGGTCACGGGTCTATTCTCGCGCGGTACAAACATTTGTATTCCTGCGTATGATTGTTCGGTCGGTCCGATTTTAATTACGAGTATTAGAGTAAAGTAAACATATGTTTTAAAGATAATACGATTTGTTTTTTAACTATCTACAACACCGACTCGATTAAATTTCATGCTATGACATGCATTGAGCATATAACCACTATAATTCTAGCACACTGTCTGGACTCTGCAATTGTATAATTGCAGTCCACATATATGACTAAATTAAATTACTATTGCAATGAGTGTATTCTTTAACTTATTATAATCACTAGGGACTAAAGTTTAATAGGGTCTCGAGGTCAATGAGGAACTTAGACTGGTCTTCGACAGTACGTTTGGCACTAAATATGTTATTCTGTAGTTTATACTCAGTTTAAAATTATTAAAAACTATTTAATATGTGATTTTAACGCTGACGCAAAAATATGGGGATATTATAAGTTTTACGTGTCTGCATATCTGTCTATAGCATTGTATGTATCAAAATCCTTTAGGAGCTTAATAGGATGGGCCGATCCGATTAAGCCCCAAAAGGAAGGTTTGAATGCTGACGTAATGGAGGTGATTTTAATTAAAAATTAGAGAGTTTCTTTTTATCCGAGGGTTACATTATTTAATGTTATTAGATTTTTAGGTTATAGGAATTATGATTAATTCAATTTATTATATTTTAATACTGCATGTCAGGAAGTAACGCAGTTTGACTTTAAGTCGTCAAGGGATTAACATGGGCGTGTAAATATAAGGGTGTGAATAGTAAACTGTTAGTTCACTCAAGGTCATAAACTTATATACTGTGGTATATGTAATTATTTGAATGGTTTTGAGCAACTCTACAAGTTAATGTATTAAAAATTAAATTAAACTGATTATATAGATATAACCTGTCTACCGTACAGTTGTTACTGTCAGTCTTACAAGGATCTTAAACTTTCGTGCATAGATGCGGTTGATGTGACAAAATAATAAACTAAACCCTATGAACTTGGAAATTAAATATGAATTTGTATGGCGTCACGCGTCGGCTTATTGATGTGGTTTGATAGCCATCATGCCTCGTTCGGGCAACTTTAACAGTATAGTGGCGAATATTTTTCAGCTACTACGTTTATGTATTTACTAATATTTAGTTGTGTACTCACATCAAATATGTTGTACCATAAAGATACATAATAAATACAACACAAGGTCACAAGATCATTGTTTTGAAAAAGGGAGACTTTTATTTTAGAAATTTTAATAAAAAGTATGTATATGAAGTTTCACGCGGACGATGTCGCGAGTAACAGCTAATCCTTCTGTAGATAGAAACCTTATATATACACAAATATCTTCTATTTCTATATATCTGTATAGAATATGGATTGGTTCAAACAATTGGCATCCCCAAGCAAAGAATAATTTCAGGGACAACGGTAGCGAAGCGTCTACGAGGCCGGCGGAGGAGTCCTCGTGCGACCCCGCGGCCGCTCTGCCCGATGTGGCTACCAACGGCAATGGCAAACCCAAAGCCAACCATTGCTCGTGAGTAGTACATATGTGGACAAACATTTGACGGTATATTTGGCCAAACTTTCTAAAAAAAAACAATTGAAACTTTCGTAATATTTGATTTTATATAAACCAGAACTTGGAATTTGAAGATAATAGAGTTTATTTCGAATAAATTGAAATAGAAGTACAAAATTATGAAATTTCTTTAAGAAATATTATATGAAATGTTGGCTACGTAGGTGTATATTTAAATATTAGCACATCATGGCTTTATATTTGTAAGTTGGGTCTAATATACCACTGTTGATAGTTTGGCGAACGTTCAAAGGACCAACCTTTAAGCGTTCGACGTAACGACTCCTGCCTCATATTCATTGTGAACGTCCTTTAATGTATGTATATGTCTGCACATATGTATATTAATTCTTTATGTATATGTGTCGTCCTCGTCCACTATGTGTATTGTTATCAGCATTGCATGTCAGGATTATCAGGTAAGCTTAATTATTTGGTGATTGTGATAATATTGCATACGGCATGCTACTAACTGCATTAATCATTATAATTATTAATTATACTTAAATTATAATCTTTATAGCATTCATTTATTGAATCTATGCAGCAGTCTTGTAGGTACCACATTTGTTTATTATACTGAGCCAGTGTTCTTACCGATTAAGCTAAAGAAGGCTTAATGCTGACTGCATCCGCTGCAATATATGACTACATTCGAACTATAGAAGGACCATTGATTTTGGTTTCAAGTCTTTAAAAAATACTATAAATATATCTGATATCATATAATACAGATAATAGCTAACTAGTCTTGTACATGTATCAAAATTTCAAGCTGAAGAGTGCTCACTATTCCTCTAGAAATATAATAATGTTTCTAGAAAAATGGTGAAGACGTAATAAGCTTAATTGGACTTGTAGAAATGCAGTGTAATGTATTTATGAAAAACTGTTATGTATTGCCAATTATTGTACAATAATTGTATTATTTCATATCACACCTGAAATAGAATATGACATCATGTTTTGTATAAAGACTATTCATTGTATAATATATACATATAATTTCTGTTTCCTTTGAAGAAGAAGGAAACAAATGATATTAATATTAATTTAAGTACCATTCGAATCTTTGTAAACTCAACTTTTTACTTTTATTAAAATGAGAAAATTGTCGACATTTATTTTAACAGAGGGAACTTCGATATCATCTTTCTCTTAATCACTTGCACCTCACCTCATTGTAATAAAATAGATTAGACGACATGTATTTTAAATTGAGAGAACATTCATACAAATAACATAAGGTACAAAATCGCTTACACTTCGATAAGTATTACAATGAGGAAATAAAATTACCTCAATTAAAATAAATGTCGACGCTTCTCTTTATAATGAGGTGGAGTTACACTTTATTAAAAAGAGAAAAGTGTCAACATTTATTTTAATTCATCTTTGATATTATCTTTCTCACAAGTCACTTGCACCTCATTATAATTAAGTAGATTAGTTGACATGCATTTTCAATTGGAGGAACCTTTGTATAATAAAATAAAACACAAAATCACTTGCACTTCATTATGTACTGAAATTAGAAAACTGTCGATATTTACTTGAATCACGGGATCCTTTGTGACAATGTCACAAATCACTTGCACCTTACTTTAAAGTGGTAAACCTTGTTGAACCTAAAATGAAATTGGGAGGGTTAATAGTAATTATATCATCATCAAGCACTTGCACCTCACTTCATATTAAATTAGAAAGTATCAACAATGGGATTGGGGGAATTTTATAATATATATATGTCATATATCATTTGTACAGTACTGTATAGTTTTGAAAATAGTCGATATTTACTCAAAAGCTCTGTGATCTATTCATGGGCTTCCATTATAAGTCACTAGTTGGCGGCACTAGTGTTTAAAGTAACTGTTTTTTTTTTATTGAGCATAAAGTTCTATTTAAATGCTTATGTTGTTTGTAATTTTTTTGTTTATCAATGTGATAATATAACAATGCCTTAATCTATAAGGTCAGAAACAAACCAATGAAACTTTTTTTAGTTTCCATTTTATTTTTTCAATAGAAATATAATTAATGAACTATGGTGCGATACCATAATTTATTAATTATATTTCTATTAATAACTACTGTATTTATTTTAATTTACTGACAATTTGTCTATGATGTACTATTTTAAATATAACAACGTAAAGCTAGTGCAGCGTCAACTAGTGCCGTATTTTCGCTAGTTTCATCCACTAAAGTACGATATAAAAATATAAATAAATAGTTATTTACTGTTCTTATTCATAATAACTAAGTTTAAACATTAAAAACGTGTCTTTTACAGGATAATGATGGGTGGTGTTCTCAACAACCCATCGTTGACTTTCAATGACGGCGTACGTACTATAGATTACGTGTTAGTATGGGAGGCGGGTAAGATCGACGCAACCACACCTGAAGCGGTCGAGCAGAGGAGGATATTCGAAGAGAACTTGGAAAATGAGGGTCTGCAACTGGAGCGGGAGGCGCCTAAGGAGTTGCACGGGTTGAATTTTACTAAGGTAACTACCAACGAGGTTGGAAACTGCATCAAAAATAATTATTTAAACCTCTTTAGTAATTTATTTTATAATTTTCAAATAGAGAACTGTGTTGTCGAGAAGACGATCGTTTTTTGTTTTTCTTCTTCGCAATGGTTTTACACCGCTGGTTATATTAAAAACAATAAAGCAGGTTGTATATTTTGGAAACTGCAACCAAAATAAGTATAAAAACCTCTGTAGTAAATTATTTTATAATTTTCAAACACAACTCTGTGGTTTCGAGAATACGATCGTTTTTTGTTTTATTCATCGCAATTGTATTATATCGCTGTTTATATTAAAAATATGTTTATAAGTTTTTTATAATTCTCAACTTAATGGTTCAACTAAATTCACACAATACCGAAGATCAAGCGTGAAATTTCAAGGCTGGGAGCAAAATTGCCTGTTAAAATAAAGACATAAATTATTTTGATTTTTTCTTTCTATTTGTCAATGGTTATTTATAAATAATAGTAATATAATAGTAAACTATACTAATACAAGTCAATTCTCGGCTAAAGTGAGATTGACTGACTTATCGCTTGAATCTGTAACAGCGTGTAACTGTTTAGGTTTCTGCATATATAACTCGCAAGTTGTAAAACATTTCTAATGCTAGGGGTTTACAGTCACAAAGATAGATATACAACTAGATACTGGGTAGATCTACAATATAATGAAAAGTGGAAACTGAAGCTAAAGCTGAACTGATCGCCGAAGTTCCTTATCATTTACTTATAAATTATTATTAAATGAACACAATGCTGACCGCAGCATGTTATTGAATTGTAGTCATTGAATATATTTATTAAGTTATCTAATAAGATAAAAATAAAGTAAATACAAATAAAGTAAAATAAAAATAAAGTAATAACTTTATTTTTATTTTCAGATCCACGCTCCATATGCCGTTTTAAGAGATTATAGTGAGATATTAAAACTTAGGATGCCGATGAAGGTATGTACTTATTAAATTATTACTATTGAAATTAATCTGACATAGTTAATAATCATTATATCCCTTTTTTGTTGTACGTAATTAGATAAAGATGGCATGTTTCTGTCAGAATTATGATCCTCTCAGAAGAGACTCGCTTCTTAGGGTTCGCGTACGTGTTGCGATCGCCCGTATCAACGACGCCTTTTGATCGGCGCATTGCTTGTAACGCCCCGCCCCCTTTATAAATGCGCCAATCGAACAGTGTCGTCAGTACGCGCCTTCCCTAGTAAGCCTGATAATGTATATCCAGGATTAAATGTATATAGTAACCTTATAAATACTTATAGTGATACTGGCTTGTCCCGAGATCCAAATATTCTAAAGCTTATGCTTCTACTTATACAGGATGTAGTCTAAAGGGTATAATAATGCGAAATCCAACGACAGTGTTGAAACTGGATAATTGGAAAACTTTCTTTGACTTAGTAGTAAGTTTGAATAATAAAGCTAAATGTATTTATTAATATGTACAAAGTAGCTTCTACCTTGAACTTTGTAATCATTTTTATAAAAAACTGAATAAAAAGTATATTATACATCCTACGCAATTCCAAATGCTACTATGTCAAATTTCATGATTATAGGTTAACACGTTTAATCATGAAAGCGTAACAGTCAAACTTTCAGATTGATTATTAAGATACTTATCCTATAAACATTGTAATATTTTGGAAACTTTTTTTAAGAGAAGTTAATTGATATTATCGCTGGATTTCGGATTGTTAACCGCTTATTTACAGTTGATAGTGTACATTCGCAAGGTACAGCCGGCTTCAAACAATTTAAAAATGATCCAAAAATTTCAATTTATCTTAGCATTGAAAGAGTAATCGAATTATTGTAAACAAACAAACCAATTTTGATGATACTATATAGTATTGTTAATTTTAGTGTAATTAACTACTTAGTACATGTTATAAATGTATGTGTATATGAATTTAGTGTTTATATATTTATACAATTCAAAAGTTGCCAAAAAGGTTTCAAGTAGTATCTACGTAGATGTTAAATCTAGTATTACTTTAAATTACAATTTCATGCAAATAATAATAATTTTGGATGGTAACAATAAAATTTATTTTGTAAGATTATATTGATCATCCTTGATCTTTGCTATGGTCAATAGCGGGTGGTGTATCGGCGCTTACTTACTTACTGTGACCACTGACAATTTATATTATAATTATTATTTCCTATTAGGATAATATGGATCATTAGTAGTCTGAAATAAATAAATATTAATAATATCAAGTCGACTGTACTATGTATTCGTGAAAGAATTAAATTAATCATTGAATTATGAATGACATGCCCTCAACAGAGGGGAAATGAGAACGGAAAACATACTGCGCCGACCCCAAATGATATAGGTACGGCGACTAGTTTAGGACCTTATTCGTGTTAATGTTGCTTTTCAAACATATATTTATTTTTTATTTATTTATTATTGTATACATACATTGTATAACTTTCGAACTGTAGTTCTAAATATGTGGTAAATATTTATCGACATTTTTTGATGGATGATAATGGAATGGCGAACCGCCTGCGCTAATAGTTTACGCTGGCGGGACACCATTGGAGGGTGATAAGATGAGCATGAGGTCAGAACACTTAGCCTACCGTGGTAAATTCACCAGAAATTGATCAGGATGGTTTCCAGGGATTACCGCGTGAAGGTCAACCTGACCTGGTACATTGCTGGCAATGGGATCATTAGTCCATTTTACTAACAATTCACTTCCCCCATTTATCGACATTCGACTTTTAAATATAAATATCGATATTATAATTTAACGTTTTGTTCGTTCGTAGCAATATTAATATGTTGATTCTTAACATTTGGGAAAAAAAATATACATATTTAATACTTTTTGGCTGTCACTCCTGGATTTATTATAAAAATGACGATAATTATGTAGTCTTATCATTTGGTACTAATGCCACCAGTTATATGTTGTTGTTCGTATTTAATATTCATTAGCTTAGTGTACTTAAAGTTCGTATTTAGTGTTCATTTATTATAAAATAGATTATTATTATAATTGATTTTAAGTAATAAAAACTTTAAAATGTCAATAAAATATTGACATTGTTCACAGTAGAATGAAAACGGTTAATAAAATATTGACATTGTTTACAATAGAATGTAAACGGTCAATAAAATATTGACATTGTTTACAATAGAATGTAAACGGTCAATAAAATATTGACATTGTTTACAATAGAATGTAAACGGTCAATAAAATATTGACATTGTTTACAATAGAATGTAAACGGTCAATAAAATATTGACATTGTTTACAATAGAATGTAAACGGTCAATAAAATATTGACATTGTTTACAATAGAATGTAAACGGTCAATAAAATATTGACATTGTTTACAATAGAATGTAAACGGTCAATAAAATATTGACATTGTTTACAATAGAATGTAAACGGTCAATAAAATATTGACATTGTTTACAATAGAATGTAAACGGTCAATAAAATATTGACATTGTTTACAATAGAATGTAAACGGTCAATAAAATATTGACATTGTTTACAATAGAATGTAAACGGTCAATAAAATATTGACATTGTATACAATAGAATAAAAACTGTCAATAAACTATTGACATTGTTCACAGTAGAATGAAAACTGTCAATAAAATATTGACATTGTTCACAGTAGAATGAAAACGGTCAATCAACTATTGTCATTTTTCATTCTATTGGTTCATATCAATCACAAAATATATATTCTAATTATTTGTGAAAATGATCGACAGTTTACTGTTAACATTTCCTTAATTTATAAGGTCCCATCCACACTGATATGAATATGTGTTATCCATTTATGCATTTAGAATTGTAACCTTAAATGTGCGCAGACGACAGTCAATCCTCGAGCGATTTATTTTTTATTTAATAAATAAATGAATTCATGAAAAAAATATTTGTGTATCTATAAAAGTTACATCTTTAAAAGTACGCGAGGACTGTCCGTCGTCTGTAGATCTTAATTGTCAATACAACAATGCAATATACGTTTCAATGGATCCATCTTGCGATGTAAAACTCTAACTGAATTTCAGCCTATTATTTTCAAATATCACATATTATCTATTGCTTTTAAGAAATAATGTAAATTTTTTTGATTACATATAATTTTATTATATTGTCCTTTCAAGCACTCTAAAAGAGGATTTTAGTAATAGAGAAATGATAATTGGTTGAAGTTCTACTAGAATGCATTGTGTATACATAATAGTTGTTTAATATTCGTTATTGACATTTTATATTGATTTGCATTAATAGAATTACTCGACATGTAGTTATTTATTACTCTTATGGTACTCGAGCCAGGGTCTTATTTCGTCAATAATTTCCTCTCTGCCCCAAAACTTTAAAAATGGTTAAGATAGTTGCATTATAAAGCAAAGCCTAATAAAAGTCAGTTGCAGGTGCGAGTGTGGGTTGAATCGTAAACATTATTATTGTTATCAAAATAAACTTTATGTCTAAAACTTTAAAGTTCAAATCTGTTTTTAGTTAATTATTTAACAAGTTATCTATTGCTTAATAGATGGCATTCTAGTTTCATAAAAGAAAATAGAAGCAGGAGAGCAAAGTCTCATTAAAGAATTTCCAATAATTTTTGCTGTGTGAATTTGCAATTCACATCAAAAGAGCATATTAGTCAGACTAGACTAGACTATAGATAAATATTGCATAGAGGATAATTATTACTAAATACATGCCGGATTTAGTAATAATTATCCTAAATTAGGCATCACTAGCTTTAAATAAATGTTTCTGTTGCTTATTTAGTACTCCGCTTTGTTTAGAGATGCGTAATATGTATATAGGTTTTTATTATTATTACTAAATCTGGTATAGGGGCAATTTTTATTAACATAATTTCTCAAATAGAATGGAAATAACCAAATAAATAAATGTCAGTTTTTTCTATTAATGTTATAAGCAATATTTCATTTAATCTCATGTAATATGTAGGCACGCGTGTGTGTTACGAGGCACAGTAACATAGTCTTGTATACGTTCATAGGAATGCAGTAAGATAAGAAAAGGTGGGCGGACGAATGCCATACTGAATGCTGCCATGTATATGTCTAAGGTATGCCAATGTTGTGGACGCAACGCATGGCCGCTTTACTAACAAAATGGCGCTTGGGATTCTTTAACGGTTCAACATTTCAAACATTTGTGTCGTGAAATTTCAATTTGGAATTGTATATTCGTCCACTGGCCTACAAATTGGTTTGTACCGATCCATAATTTGGGGCAGGATTATGTGACGCCGTTGCTAACCATTGAAACAGATTAAATAACAGTACGATTATGTATGAATACTGTCAGTTGCAATTACAATTGAAAATATTCATGCCAAACGTAGATACTTAGCTTGTAACTGCAACTGTCTCTCAACTCAAATAATTCAAACAAAATTAGAAAATATAGTTTTTGATCAGTTTAATCTGAGAATTGTTAGCAAAGGTGTCACATATTAAGCACCTGGGGCTCGATTAAAAAAAACGCTTTTGCAATCGTTTCGTATTTTAAAGAGATCGACAAATAGTTTGCGATTATGTACCGTCTATTAATCAGTTGTAGTTGCGAACCTTTGTATTCTGTGTTTCTGCAGCTGTCAAATACATAATCACAATTAATTATTATTTTTATTTCAATTTCTTTAAAATAAGAAACCATTGCAACAGCCCATTGAACTCGATGCATGAAGTGCTATTCCTGTGTTCTTTCAAATTACAACCTTAGGCCATTATAAGGTTTAATTTGGTTGGTTTGCTATCGAATTGCAAAAAAGAGCTATACATAATGGTTTGTAAAATTGTTATTATTTTCTTCAAGGTGTTTATGGTTTGTTTTCATATAAATATGTAATTTCATGATTATTTTTTGATTGCCATGTCAAACTCATATCAATCCCTAGCACATAACCTGCATTATCCCTGTAATACAACTCACATCTTCCGCACTTCCTTTTGGTTTCTCGGTGTTATGTCTGGTTAATATTTTTGATGTAATGTAAAACTACATTAGAAAAATGTACTTGTGTAAAACTATAATAGGGTGAAAAAAATCATATAGAAAAAATATATACGTAATAGTAATCTATTACGTATATATTTTTTCTATTTTTCTATCTAAACAGGAAACAAAATAAAAATGAAATTATTAAATAGAAAATGTAATTGTGTAGAACTACATAAGATTTCATATACATATAAAAATTGAAGTAATTGACTAACAAATAAAAAATGTATAGTTATTATTGAATAGAAGAAGTGGTATATGCATAAGGTATTGTCACATGACATCATATAAAAAAAACGTAAATTGAAAAAAAAAATTAAATAATTGATTAGAATGTAGTAGTGGTATATGCAATGGTTATCATAGAAGGTTTTATAATTCCTATGCTGGTGTTTTTTCATATACAAAGGTTCATGATTGAGGCATTTCATCAAATTATTAAGTTAGCTACTTTGATTTTAAATAATTCGGCTTGGCTCAGCCATTTTATATATTATTAAATGAATAATAACTAATCATGCTAGCTTATGCTTTTGAGGATATTATATAATGGAAAATGGTTTTGGGTTTTTTGCATGAAAAGGGTATATTATAATATAATTAATACCAATAACAAGTAATTGTTAAATAAATAATTGATTTATTTATGTCTTGAAAAATAGTTTGCTTAAGAAAATATTACCGAAGTACTTAACTTAAATTAAAATAGGTTCTAATAAATACTATTAAAATAGAAACTTATATGGAACTGAAAATAATCGTAGAACGATTAAAATAGATATATTTTGTCTGAATAACAAAAATATTAAATATTTAGTTCTATGGCAATCAGCTCAAGTTACAATAATGAGAAATAATATCTAACACTAATACTTTGTCAAAGTGACATTGTCGCAGTTTTCATTATTTTTATACATTGCCAATCAATTTTATTAATGTGGCACAGTACAACTTTGTTTGGATAAGTGCCAAATCATGTGATACGAACTGTTTCAAGTCATATTGTCTAAAATGTTAAGGTTGAATTTTCAGTTCTCAGCATTGAAAGATGTACACGAGAAGACCAACAGCTTGGTCGATAATATAAACGCGTGCTGGGAGCGAGTCATGTCCAAGATCAGGGTAGATCCGGATTTGTTCCCGGAGAGGAAACACCGGCTCACTGCTATATACTCCAAGGATAAGGAATATTTGTAAGTATATTTATGTATTATATATTAATAATAATGAACTCTTTATTGTGCACATAAAATGCAATAAGAAAAACAGTAAATAGAAAATTAATAACAGAAGGCATAAAAATTAAGGAAGAGTCTTATTGCTATAAGCAATTTCTTACAGACAACCTGGAAGAAATGTCTAACCTACACAGAAAAGGTAGATGGCACACACAAGACACTATAATTATAATAATTAAACAAATAAATAGACATATATATATAGATATAAATAAATAAAGCTATAACTATACAAATACAACATACTGGAAGATTTCAGAGATAAATAGAAGAAAAAAAACTGTAGAGAAAGATAATAAGACTATTCGATTTTTAAATATTTCATGAGCGGATTATATACTGTCTATTTATATTGATATGGTCGACTTTTGGGACATCCAGTATAGTAATACAGTCCATTTATGTTTTTAACGTCGAATTTTTTGACATACTGTATAGTAACTGCGTAGCTAGTGTGTGTTACAATTTATTGATAGTGGATTAATGCAAATAATTTCTCCTATAAGACTCGGTTATGTACTGCCAAATTCAGTGTTCAGATTTGTAATAATAATAATAATATAATACCCAGAGCTTCTAGTCCAAAGCTGTGTTATGGGTACTAGACAACTCATAAATACTTACAAACATATGTATACATATAAAACACATTACTTATACAAAAAAATCGCACTGATGAATACAAATGTTTATATCTTGCGAAGAATTGAACTCGCGACCACCAGAAGTATAGCGGTGTGCTTTTTATTTCTAGATTCGATACATCCGCGGAGTGTTTCTGGACGCCGTCGATCCGTTCGCGTATTGTGCAGTTCATACTTGACAGAAAGAAGTTCTCCTCAGCCAGCAATGACGACTTCGCTTTCGGCATCACCCGACTCATATCCAACTCCACATACAGCGCGGCGTACCCACTGCATGATGTATGTATTCGGTTTTTATCACCTCACCACTGTAGCGGGCACAGCTAGTCATATATAATATATAACTAGCTGTACCCGCGACTTCGTCCGCATGGAATAGAGACGGACCAATAAAGAACAAGTATTTAGTAATGTAACCTATAGGAGTAGACGTGTTCTAGAGTGGAGACCGCGAATTGACAAACGTAGTGTAGGACGCCCTGCAGCTAGGTGGAGCGCCGACATACGTAGGGTTGCGGGTAGTAACTGAAAGAGAAGAACTGAAGATCGTGCCCAGTGGCGTGCCTTGGGAGAGGTCAATGTCCAGCAGTGGACTGCAGTGAGCTGATGATGATGATGAATCGTAACTTAAAAAACCAAAGCAGAAGTTTAAAATTGTTAATAACTTCTACAGGGTAGATGAATTTTAACTTCTTGGCTGTAAATTCATGAATTCTACGACATACTATCTCAAAGTGGATGTTATAAAATCAACCCTACCCGGCAAGTGTTTTGATTATTTTCAATCATATATTCGATATCTTATTTTTAATCTACATACAGGGCGATCTCAAAACACCCGGTTCCATGAGGCACCTGCTGTATAAAGAGTGGGCGAGCGTCTCCAAATGTATCAAATATCAGCCATTGGATTATGTTAAGGATTATTTCGGTGTTAAGATCGGTAAGTAATTTCTTTCAGCTATCTAGCGTTGTAGTACAATGTCCTGGAATTAAAAGTTAAATATACATGAAAGGAGTGGGGAATTTGTACGAAACAAGACATGTGATAAGAAGATTTTACTGCTCTGCTTTCTCTGAATGTACTGTAAAGAATCTCAATTGAATATATACTGAATATTAAATGAATTCTGAACGAATTACTAATTATAAATTTGCTAAAAGCGTTTTAAGAAAATCTAAAAATAAAGTTTATTAACTGGTTTTTAACAAAGTTGGCTCTTTTCAGCATTTATCAATAAATTCTTATGGTTCAGAATTAGTCAAATAAGTATACAAGATTAGATCTTCAAGAGCCCGTGAAAGGATGACGTATACCAAAATTATTGTTCTATATTCTGCCTCTGAATTGTTAATCTGTAAATCTAATATAACAATAAGGATCTTTTTAAGAGATATAATTTAGTATAAAAACTATTTATATAATTATCTATTACAATCAAACTGGTACAGATTAAAAAAAAAATTGAATTTCATGTGTGTGCATTTGTGGTGCAGGTTTGTACTTCGCGTGGCTGGGTTTCTACACTCACATGTTGATCCCGGCGTCTCTAGTCGGTCTCATTTGCGTAATATATTCCGCCGTTACGGTATATTCTAACCAACCGAGGTAAGCAACCAACAGAAGTTACGACAAATCATATCGTATAGAATAGAATAGAATAGTTCTCCATTCTATTATATCTACTATATATGTAATATTATATTAGAGTTATATTATATAACTAGCTGTACGCGCGACTTCGTCCGCGTGGAATTTTACAACAATACTTTATTTTTCTAAAATAAATCATTTTCTACAATAAAGGTAGCCTTAGTTACTCCTTATTACATCATATACCTGCCCATAAATAAGAATTTCTAAGGAGACCGATAATTTCAGTGAACAAGTATGCAACTATAATTCAACGATCAAAATGTGTCCGCTGTGCGATTACTTCTGCGACTATTGGGACCTCAAAGACACCTGTCTCCAGTCTCGGATCACCTACCTCTTCGATAACTCCACCACGGTCTTCTTTGCTGTATTTATGAGTTTCTGGGGTAAGTACTAATAATACGTAATACGTAATAATACGTCAAAACAGAACGGTTAATTATTTGAGATAATATACAGAAATAAAATATATATACAAAAATTTTATATTCTCGAAATTCTTTGGTTTTATACCTAAGAATTGGTCATACTGACCAATTCTTTTCTTTAATTAATTGTTTCCTATATTTTATATGGTCCTGTAAAAAATTACGCACGATACGTCATGTATTTAATATTGCTGCTTTTTGCATTGCGATATATGTATTCGGCGGTAGATTTAAGACACGCAGGCTGTGTTGTAGGTTCGTTAGTATTACACACATACTGGAGATCACCAGAGGGACTATGCACGCTTTGCTTAAATTACAAATTGTGATCACTTCAGAATAGAATAGAATAGATAATCATTTAATTTAAGCACTTTTGAATAGTAGTAGTACTTTTAACCTACCGCTCATTCGGAAAGCTGTCTTATCACAAGAAGAATGAGCAAGAAACTTGCACGTTGCTCTTGTAAATATTCGTTGTACGTTTACATTTTTAGTTCGAAATGTGTGAATACGAACTACCAACTAGCACTAATTTATTCTTCTCTTCTTTCTTGAACTCCTGTGTATTATTAATTGAGAACAGCAATTATTATTATTAATAATAACATCTTTCGTAGCGGCTTGCTTCTTAGAAATGTGGAAGCGGTATTCGGCAGAGATGACGCACCGCTGGGATCTCACCGGCTTCGACGTGTACGAGGAACACCCGCGCCCGCAGTACCTTGCGCGGCTTGCACACGTTAAGCGCACCCAGGTACAATCTGCACATTATTGAAAAGATAGCACTTACAAAATTATCTATAGCATATTGATAAACAGATTTTTTAAGGGCCCTCTTTTAATATTCTTTTTAATACAAACATATTAAACAAATATCAATATTTATAACAAACTTTGATATTCACCACCACTTCACACATAGACGGTCCAGTCATGATCATAAAGCTTTATGATCACAAAATCAATAATCGTATTAAATCTATTGAATGTTTCATTTTACTAGTTTGATTATACGTCATTACAAATGCGTTAATATGACTGACCAATCATAATTAAAGTTTCACAAATTGAATGAATATTATTTTAACTTATTTATTAATTAATAAATATATTTTTTTAAGATAATAATATATTATTTGTTAATTAAAAAATACGTTGGCGACTCTGATGTAGTTTATTGACATATGACTGGTGATAAACAGTTGAACGTGGTGACGGGGGAGCGCGAGCCGATGGTACCGTTCTGGCGCATGCGTCTGCCGGCGACGTTGATGTCGTTCAGCGTGGTAGCGCTGCTGGTGCTGATGGCGCTGGCCACCGTGCTGGGCGTGGTGCTCTACCGCATGTCGCTGCTGGGCGCCACAGTGCTCCGACACAACTCCAACGTGCTCATCACCTCCAACCCTATCATGTTCACCACGGCCACCGCCGCCTGCATCAACCTCGTACTTATATGTCTGCTCAATTATGTAAGTAGTTTAATGATTGTTGTGGTTGACGGCCTTTGTGGTTTAGCACACTGTTTTACTTTAGATGGTCGTGGGTTCGATTCCTCGCATTATAGTAATATTTGTATTCAAGATGTTACGATTGTTTGTATTGTCTGGGTGTATTGTATGTATATATCAGTACGACTTGTTGTGTTAATGTGAGTTTTTTTTTATATATGTACAATATTTAAAATAAAAAACAAACCCAGACTAAGTTACACCTATTCTGCTCCTATTATGTTGCATAAAAGAATATTTAAAAAGTCGTCGCAACGGTTGAAATCATTTGATCGAAAGAAGATATTACAAAGGAAGTGAATAACTGCTAACTTCTTTAAATAATGTCAATATACTGTTTCATGATGACAGATATACCAGTACTTAGCGGAATGGCTCACCGAGAAGGAACTACTTCGAACGCAGACGGAGTTCGACGACTCGCTAACGCTCAAGATATACCTACTGCAGTTCGTCAACTATTACGCGTCTATATTCTACATCGCGTTCTTTAAAGGGAAATACGTCGGCCGTCCCGGAGACTACGTGCGTTTCTTTGGACATAGACAAGAGGAGGTATTATGAGATCTACTTATTTTATTGAAATTATTTTTGTAATTTTTGTAATTCTTTCTTAAGTTGGTTTTTTTTATTCGACTGTACATCATAGATAGGCATCTTCCTGGCCTAACTCAAACCTTTTAAAATAATGGCATTCCTATTTTTCTGTTTACATCTGATATAATATATTTCCTAAATTCTTTGGACCAAATTTTTGTCCTACTTGCTTTCATTGTATTTTGCCACTGCAATTATTCCAAGACTCTTTTAGATTATATTCTTTAATTTACAGCCTTAATTAAATATACTGTATAAAAGTAGTATGTATACCTTTTAAGGAGTATATGATTTTCAACAAGTTGTACGTTTTTAAAACCTCTATCAAATACATATTTGGTTAATTTATTTTTATTTTTTGCAGTCGATGTTTTGATTTTTTCCCATGGTAATGAATTACTATGTGTGGGGTGTAGTATTTCAGTCCTTTGGAATTGCAGTGCATAAGATATACTACACTGTCCATGGTGTTGTTTATTGCTATAAACACTGATTATCTAAAAATAATATAATTGCGTTTCTAGTTTTATGTATCTCTAGGATAAATTAGATATTTAAACAGTCAGTTGTTTTCAGTGTGCTCCTGGTGGATGTTTCCTGGAGCTGTCCATTCAGCTTGCCATCATAATGGTGGGTAAGCAGTTCATCAATACCATAGTGGAGATGTTGATGCCGTACCTACTCAAGTGGTTGTACATCATACGCACTATAGGCAGAAAAAACACGTGAGTTCATATAGTTGTACTCTAGACTTGTTTGTACAAATGTTTTACCCCACATTATTCTGATGATTTTATGCAAAGCATCTCTCTGGTCGAAAGGAGGATGAATAAACTAATTGTTTATATTACTTAAATAAGTAATAAATAAATAACCCTGGAACATTTACACAGCGCTATCTACTCTCACAGTAAGAAGAGCTTGTGTTATGGGTACTGGTATAAATAATTAGATATAATATATACTTTTTGAAAATACATGCATAAAATACATAGAAAACACCCAGACCGATACAAATAATTATACTCATGAATACAAATGTTTGTGTCGTGCAAGGAATCGAACCCGCCACCATCGAAACTAAAGCGATGTGCTGAATCGCTAGACCACCGAGTACTTAAAGGGTTACATTATTATTCGAAGGAATGAATAATTTGAAAGTACAAATAAGTTCGTATAGAATATTTTTGCTACTTATAGTAGGCTAGGTGGAAATCCGTCATTATTATGTGAGCCTACTTTTATACCCTGTTAGGACGACTAACTACATATTTAGTAAGACTAAAATTGTGATGAATTGTTTATAGTTTTTGATACTATGAACAAAACAATGGTTAGAGAGAAAAGAAACCAATAAAAATTATAGATTATACATTCTCTGTATATAGTTTTTATCTGTGTGTTTATAGTTCTCTTTGTCAATTGTGAACGTTAATTTTAATAATGCTATAAGATGTTTAAAATTATATTTTCAGAATAAAAAGTCCATTGCAGTGGGTAAAAGATTTCAAACTAGTCGATTTTGGTAACATGGGATTGTTTCCAGAATATTTGGAAATGGGTAAGTTGACTTGTAATTACTACTGCCAACACTAAACTTGTTGATAATGTATTCTACACTGATAATAGAAATGACAAAGATATGTATGTTAATAACGCAAAAACTACTGGACCAAATACAAAAAATATTTCACTAGGATTTTACATTATCCCTAACTTGGGGTATATCTATTGCTAGATATAAACAGGAGTCCTTACTAAAATTTGTTTATTTAAAAAAATATACTAGAATTACTAGAATAGAATATATAAGTATTGTATAATATAAGTAAGCGGAATACAGTATTTGGTATGTACATTGAAATACTTTCTAAAAAACATATCTACTTAGTAAATAAGACCGAATTACGTGCCTGCAGACAAACGCTGTCAGGAGTTTTGAAAGAGGACAAAGATTCTAAACATTGTTTTATATTAATTTTCACTTCTATTCCACTCCACTCCACTCTATACTACTCCACTCTATTCTATCTATCTACATAAAATGTGTGCCTCTTTAGAAATGCTACACCCGAACTTAACTGTAGTTACGTATCGGCAGTGCTACAATACGGGTTCGTGACGATCTTCGTGTCTGCATTCCCACTGGCGCCGTTGTTCGCCCTCATCAACAACATCCTCGAGATGCGGCTGGACGCGAAGAAGTTCCTATCGTGCTACCGCCGCCCGGTGCCGCAGCGGGTCAACGACATCGGCGTCTGGTACCGCATCCTCGACTCTATCGGGAAGCTCAGTGTCATCACCAATGTAAGTTGACCCATCACACCCACGTTTACTCGATATAGACCAGTGTTTTCCAACGTGGAGACCACGCACTTTGATTCTTAAGAGGGGCAATGGGAAAATTGGACACTTTATTAAAATTATATGGAATTTGAATTTCAATTTTCCATTGTATTGAAAATTTATTGTTTCGTAAAACATTTCCCAGTGAATTCTTCCTAAAACCTAGGTGTTATAAGAATTTTAGAAAGGCTAAGCTGGCATGGTTCTAAAAAATTTGGGAAACACAAGTTGATTCTCAATTATTCCAGCCGCCAAGCCTAAGATGGGTTTCGTAAGATGTGACTCATACATTATCATGTTAGTCCCCAAAGATGATACCGTATAAGTGCTTTTTTTTTTAAATAGATGATAATGAAATGTTGCATGCGCCTGCACTAACGGTATACGTTAGCTAGGCACCGAGTACGCGCTAGACAGTAGAGGATGATAAGGTGAACATAAGGACAAATTCACTGGCAATTATCACGAAGGTTTCCAGGTGGAACCGCGTGGAAGTCAACCAGACATTTTACATTGTTACCAATCCTCTTTCCACAACGAATAAGTGGTATCACAGGTGTCTCATGATAACATGATATCCGTAGTGCTATTCACACAGTGAATCCATTGAATACTAAGAAGTTCGTGTTTCTTAAGGCATTTTATTGTTTTAGGGTTTCATAATAGCGTTCACATCGGATTTCATCCCGCGTCTGGTGTACCAGTTTGCGATGGAGAGTAACTTGAATAACTACGTGAACTACACGCTAGCCGATTTCAATATAACCGTGCTAGAAACGTACAAGCCGCTGAAGTCCACCTACAAAGAAGAAGTTTGCAGGTATAGTCTCATAGATATAATAGTCTAGAGTCAATCATGCTCACTTAAATGTCCAGGCAGGCGGTGGCATGGTGGAACGGGACATTGGGGTCCCTAAAATGTGGTTGAGGGCTGTCATATTCGTGAACGGATGCTGCTTGTTAGGACTGGTTTGCTCTGATAACTAAGATTTATTTTGTTACTCGAGTATTCATAAATATATGTCAATTTTGCTACTTGACAGTTTCAATTACACAAAATTCTTAAAAATATAATTCTGAATAACATTTATTTAAAAGAACAACACGCAAGTTTCCTATTCGTTTTTCTTGTGATAAGTTTGCGTTCCGAATGAGTGGTAGAATAAAAAAAATATCAGTAACTGCTTATTTTAATATTTAATATTGCCTATTAAGTTTATTTGAATAAAAATAATTTCTATTTCTATTTCATATTCGTGAACGGGTTTTTCTTGTTGGGACTGGTCCTATTAGTTGCTGATTGAAGTAATGTAATAGCATGTGCTGGTGGTCTCTGTATTCGCTGTATTTTTTAATGAATGATCCTGCCTGCGGTAACAACTTACGCTGGTAGGGCAGTGGAGCAGATACAATGAGCATGAAGTCGGGTCAGTTGGCTCATCATGGCGAATACATACGAAAAAAGTAATCGAAAGAAATAATCACCAAAAACCTTAATTACTCTTATGGTTTGTTTACAGTTACCCCGGCTACTGGTATTACAAGGAAGGCGACGATTACGAGCGCAGCAATTGGTACTGGCATGTCATGGGTGCCAGATTGGCATTCATAGTTGTTTTTGAGGTAATACTTTAGTTTTATCTATATATTTATTTACTATTTTTTGTGGTAGAAGTAAATTATAAAGAATATAAATAGAAGTAATGTGGTATAAAAGGTGGTCTTATCTTCTGTGTTATTTATTCAAGTACTACTATAATATAATAAAAATAATAGATTATATTTGATAACGAATGGCTCGTAACTTCACCAAGATGTCATAATATGAATGTCCTCTTCATCATCAGAACGTAGTGGCTCTAGTGATGATCATCGTCCGCTGGGCCATCCCGGACATGTCCAGCGAGCTCCGAGATCGTATCCGGCGGGAGGCGTACGTGATCAACTCGTTCATAATGGACGAGACGCGGTCGCGGTCGCTGGGGCCCGGGCTGTGTGCGGAGGGCCCCGGGGGGGTCGCGCGGGCGCGCGTCGTGGGGGCCACGGGGGTCGCCGCCGCCGTGGGGGTCGCGGGGGCCGCCGCCGCAGGTGTGGCCACCTCCACGCCCGTATAGCTAACGGTTACGGTAGGCTGCACTCGCTTCTTATACTGATTTACTAACACCGTTTTCGGTTCACTGGATTATGCCGCGTTATGTTGGATGGGTCTTTTGCCATGTCGCCTGCAGTGATGTTTTCACGTGGGAAAATTAAGGAAAACTTAGTGAATGCCTAAAAATTTTATTTATCTGCTCTTGAGGTTAGTTTGGATAAATAAAGGAAATATGAACACGCAAATAATTTACGATAAATTAAAAATTAAAAGATGTATGAAGTATATAAGTTTATCGTAAGTTATTTATTCGGTTACTTACATTCTCAAGTATCTTAAATAAGCAGTTTTACATGTGAAGGGGAATTATGCATATGTAGAGTGGTTGCGAGTATTTTTAACAGTAGAAGTAATTCATTATTGAACATGTTTGAACATGTTCTGTCTCTTACAATACTAGCCAGTGAGCTGAAAACGTCATGAAGACTGTATTGTGTGTGTGCGATACATGAGTATATCGGTGATAATTAACTAAATTATTTAAACTGTGTTATTATTTTATAAATTTTTTACAATGTGTTGCTATAGATTTGGTAGGAAACTGTAAATAAATTCAGCTAAGTCAAGTTGTGTGGCCAAATTAACATTGAAATAGAGTTCCTACCACACGATTGAATAATGTGATATTAGATACATATACGTTAAATGTTATAATATTATGTTTTATATTTGAAATTTCCAGTTTCAACTTGTTATATTTACATGTATTATACATACTTATATACATGAACATATTTTTAAATGAATAATAAAAGGCTCTGTGGTAGGAAGCTTGCTAGTTCAGGTGTGTTGATGAAAATATGATAATTATTAATATGTGATGATGTATTTATTACAATAAAATATTTATACATCAATTTACAATGTACAGATAGATAATTTCGCCAACACACAATCATTAGTAGATAGAACGAGGTTATGGTACTGTATGCTTTAATTTATGCCAAGCTTAGAGCAGCTTAAAATCACTGCTGAATATTTAGCTGCATATTTTGTGTGCCGCGCTCTAAATTATAAAAATTGGTGCGCTCAATATATTGGGTATAAAAAAGTAACTTGTATTCTTTTTTATGGATGACTTCTGGGCTTATGGTATACGCTGGTGGCCTAAGAGAAGGATACAATAGAAAGGACTAATAAAGTCATAAAAACCATGATAGTTCATTAAAAAAAAATAGAATAACTTTTTAACTGTTAGCTGTAAAAATGACGTTAAAGCTCCATCTGTGATAACAAAATCTCTCACAGATGCGGCTATAGTGTCCGAGTCCAATAATTGGCTCCTTAGCTGATGAGAGGATAATCTTTTCTTCTTGGGGATAAAAATTAATCAAATCCTCTTAGTGCACAAAATGTTTGTTATTAATCAATAATTAATCAAGCTTATTATTAAATTAAAATGTGGATTAGCTGGTTAGTTAGGCTGAAAGATAGTCGTCTGATAATTTTCATAAAAATAAAGATTATAGGCCAAGAGTTGGTGCACTTATCCCAACCATTTTACTGTTTTTTACTGTTTCTTTCGTAATGTTATACAGAGCTGATTGTTTAAGATCGCAGAAATTATAGTGAATACATATGTAGACATATATAGACATGTTTTTTGAATAGACGTAGTCGGGAACTGAGGTCCGTAGTATTGTTTAAGTATACATTTATTAATATAAGGAAATATTGTACCGTACACGCAGAATGCAGTCTTTGAAGCCTGCGACAACGTCCATGATATTTATTTATAATAAAAATTAAACTACGATTACTATGTATAAATACTAAAAATAAAATTACAGTAAATCTTTTTGCTCTTAGTAATGGATAATAGATTGAATTGTTCAAAGTATTAATACTCCATTGTACTATTGAATACATTAACTTATAATCCCGTTGAGGTTTTCTCACGAGACTACACCATGTGTTTTTCAAGAAGGGTTCTTTATATTTAGGTTTCTTAAGGGACAGCGCTATTATTCTTATTAATAATATTCTCTCAGGTTGTAATAGATGATTAATTTATTTTGTAGAACAATATCATCCTCATTTGCTTCTTCTTATCCCATTTATATGGCGTCGGCGTGATATGTTTTAGAACTACATATACTTAACATATTATTGAGTTTATTTTATAATATATATACTATTGTACTTTGGTTAGATTTAATATTCTAGAGATATATCATGGATGTTTTCGTACGGCTATATATTTACGATGCCGAGCTTATGTTAAGTATTATTAAGTACTAAGCAGGTGCGCTGTATACAGAAACGGCCGCTATGTGAGTGATTTTGAAATGATTTTATCAATAATAGCATGATTGGATTATGGTTTGGGTGCAAACACTTTCACAGTACATGCATGGAGCCGGCAGGGGGCGCTAGGTTATACACTTGTAAATCCATAGAAACAATAATACTTGATGGCAGTATAACTGGTAATTCCATAGTTTATATATATATATATATATATATATATACAATAACACTAAACTATCGTCCAAATAGCTTCAGTTAAATATATATATATTTATATATATATATATACGCGACATAACCGCAACAATATGCTGATATTAAAGTTTCATATATAATAAATATATTAGCGTTAATGTTTCAAGTTATTATAAATAGCCAAATGGTTTCTTTGTTCCTTGTTATGAAGTAATCAGATAGAAATAAATAGACAGCACTCTATACGACTGGCCGAGCGCCCAGCGAGTTTAATGCACAATAATCCTTAATGTTATATTAATACGGAATGGATTTGTTTTTACGTCACAAGTATTATATACTTCACAATAACGCTCATCAAACTTTTATACGCAGACTTATAATAAGGTGATTATGAAAGTATATTTGTTAGTATTATCACAGATAACATAATATTACATACAGATACCCCATCCCATACAAGAAAATGGTTCCTTCCTAACTCGGGCTATTCTTCGGGCTATTTTATTTCGCCGCCGTAGCCGCTAGATGTCGCTAGATCTGAAGCAGTTCGGATTACTAGTGGGTGCTTAGTAACAAAGCATGAAAATAGATGGCAGTCAATTCAGCTACATGACATCTGTTTTGCAAAGATATGTATATAATAGATATGTAGGTTACTGTATCGTGTACATCATTAGGGACGATTCAAGATTCAATGTAAATGTGTAGGTATAATATCGTTAGCCGACACTGCAGATATGGCTTATGTGCCAATGTATATACCTATTATGTTATGGTTTATTTTACATTCCATGCCTATTTTTTTGATATGTTGTAACGCGTCTGCGCTATACGTATAGCCTGACTTTGATACGTTTATACTCGTACGTATCAAAATCGGGCTATACGTTTTTTTATTTCAATCGTTATATGTATGAGACTGATTTTAGCTACAATTAATTTACTGGTATATACCTCATGTATTCTACGATGTACCCCTCTTTTACCTAATGAGAATTCCGCTATATCTTATATTGTTGGATCGTCATAAAAATAATTAAAATAAGTTGTAAGACTATTGCGCTGCGTGCGGTATTCAACGACCAACTGCCGCCGGCCTCCCGTTGCCCAACCGCTACCGGGGTATCCGTTGCTTAGCAACGAGCCAACAGCGCGAGGCTACCGGCGGGTGCGCCGCTATATATATATATCTACTTAGAGGTAGTGTATTACAATATATAAATTTTGTATCACAGTGTTAGTTGCCATATTTCTCCCATGATGAAAATTGATATGTATACTTGCCAGGTCTGAGGTAGGGTTGTTATCTATTTTTTATACCCCTAAGTCATAGGGGTGGCCTACCCCGAAAAAATATTTTTTTGTATTATGGACAATTTTTTTTTTATTTATAATGTTACATTGAAAATACATACACGCCTAAATTTTCACCCGTCTTTCACCAACCCCTATTTTTAATAGCGATATTCTTGAAAATATTATAAATGCTAAAGTAACTCAGTCTGTCTATTTGTCTCGCTTTCACGCCAAACATTCTGAATTACTCGTATATCTTTCAATATCTTTAGCGGTATAAACCAGGTTATGTACTACTACTAGTATTGTTAGTGAGGGATAAAGTTGATGAACAAAAATAAAACAATATTCGTATTAAAAATATATTCATCTAATATTTTTGGCATTATTTTTAAGTTTCTTCCAAATACAAGGGGTCTGACATGGGGTGTTATGTACCTACATTAAAAGATACTTTTTGACATGTATGAAATGTATGAAAGAAATGTATGTACCTACATTAAAATATAATTTTTGAAATGTATGAAAGTAATGTATGTACCTACATTAAAAGATAATTTTTGACATGTATGAAATGTATGTACCTACATTAAAATATAATTTTTGAAATGTATGAAATGTATGAAAGAAATGTATGTATGTACCTACATTAGAAGATAATTTTTGACATTTATGAAATGTATGTACCTACATTAAAATATAATTTTTGAAATGTATGAGATGTATGAAAAAAATGTATGTACCTACATAAAAAGTTCATTTTTGAAATGTATGAAATGTATGAAAGAAATGTATGTACCTACATTAAAAGATAATTTTTGACATGTATGAAATGTATGAAAGAAATGTATGTACCTACATTAAAATATAATTTTTGAAATGTATGAAAGTAATGTATGTACCTACATTAAAATATAATTTTTGAAATGTATGCACCGTACAATAACAATACACGTTAAACATCATACCACAGAGTCATACGCAAGTTAAAAACAAACTGCTATGATATTAATGAGAAAGGAAAATCAACTTTATGATATTCGAATTAGGATCGATTTCTCTCTTTTTTTTAAATACTAATTTAATCTTACCAGTTGCCAGTATTCGAAGACAACTACGATTCGTACTCGATATTTTAAATTATTATGTAATCGATTTTTCAGTACAAATGCAAATAACCAACGACACTAATAATGTACTACTATATTCCGTTCTTTGAAACGGAACACTGCTATAATACAAAATAATGAAAAATTACTGTTCACAACGACTCATTAAAAGCATCATCGAATAATGCGTAATAAAATCCTGTTATCGATTATTAAAAAAAATCGATAATACATGTATTTATTTATAATATGACAACACTTCATACATAAGTATTATTGGAAATATTATTACTTGCTTGTTCGGCTATTTTTAATTTACTTAAAAAATTTTTATATGTTTAATTTACAATAATAATATATTAAGTGCTTATTATTGGAAAATATAAAAAAGACATTTAATTAGGCCGATACAAATGACGACAATGCCATCTATGAAAGCATTTTGAAAACATTGAGCCCCATATTAGCACTGATTAAAGTGTAATTAAGTACTGGAAAATAACAAAATGAGTAAATATATGAAAATTACTTTTCTAAACGCATTATTTCATTTTAACATGTATATATAACTTTTTAAAAATTGATTAAACATTTTTGAAAACACAGTTTTGTTTTTTAAAACGTTTGCAAAACTATGAAGAATTCCATCGATACCAATCACGCCATCTATATGCAACTTTTAGCAATAATAATGGCTACTTCCTCATTGAGTGCCACTGGTATTATATAATTGTCATGTTTTCTGTCTCGACTGAGTTTACAGCAGTGAACTCTACTTTGTATTAAGGATTGTTTTACATTGTACAACTGTATTGTTGCGCTCGTTTCCAATTATATATAGTGTTTTACTGCTCCTGGGATATATCTTCTGCCGGCTTCCAATAATACACAGTGGTGTCAGTTGCAATCATAAATCACTTGTAGGATTATTTGATAAACACATTACAAGTACAAGTAGGCACACATGTTTTTAGTTTGTTATAATCACAAAATATATCACCGAAAATCAAAATGCATTTAATAAGTTTAAAGTATGATAATTCATTAATAAAAATATAAATATATAATCGAACTAAAACTTATTCATATTTACACGTATTTAAAATATTATTTTTTAACTTATGGAGAAATTACAGTTAATTTAAAATTTTAATGATTTTAATGATAATATTCAAATATGTTAATATTATGTAAGTGTAAGATTAATAATTTTGTATTAAACCGTAATTATACTGTACCGTAAATACGTTATATTGTATCGTACGATACATATTGTTCCGATATATTTTTTTTACAATATATACATACACATTTAAAAAAAAGTACGTAACGTAAGTAAGATAAAAAATATCAAATAAACACAATTTACCACGCATCACAATACATAAAGTAGTAACATTTGGTAATCCAACAAAATAATGCAAGCATGCAATATTGCTTAATAATTAATGCATTTTGAATTTCTATAACGAAAACTAACGCAATTCGTAGATAGATTTTGAAGTAAACAATATTAACTTGCCTAATAAGATATAAAAAATATTATGACGAAACTCGCAACAGTGATATGAACTTAGAAATAAAAATATAAAAAAAAACTCTGTTCAATTTAATTAAGGAGATTGCAACTCTATTTCTTTTGTGTCTATGTCATAACATAGAATATATAGAGTATTTTTTAAAATTTTTAACAAAATTTACTGTTAGTTATCGAATGTTAATGCAATTTTGTCAAAAAAAAAAGTCAGTTCGTGTTACTGTTGTGGTGTTTAATTATGACAAAGACGCCAGCTTATGTCACTAACTTAACAATAGATTTAACAAAATAAATTATTGGCTTGACAAGTTGCATTGCATTGAAGATTGAAGCTTTAAAAATTATATAGCTTATTTTTATAAACCTTTGTTAACTTATGTAGGCCATTTGCTCGATGTATTTTTACAAATGGTATTGCATTAAATATGAATTTCCAATTTAGCAATCATTTTAACGGTACGAAGGCAAAGAGACTAATCTTATACAACTATTGTCTTATGTTTCAATGTGGTATAAATATTCTTTTCATTAATTATTTTTGAAATCTGTAATTGGTTAATTGAAATTTGATAAAATAATTGTAATGAGTTTGTATAATATTATTAATTCAGTAAATTTTAATTGAACGTAGGTCAGTATTAACAACAGTTTTAAAATTTTACTATCTTTCTTGCCTTCATTAGCTAAAATGTTTAATACGACAGATATTAACGCTATTTTTATTATTCCTGAATTAGCCGAAGAAACAACAGATTCCAACTGGAACCACATAGCTTCCCTCTCTGGCTCCGACTTCGACCTCGCAGCCCATGGAGACCATCAAGATATAGCAGATTTAGGGAAACACGTCGTCGCTAGACATAGTTTCAACGAGAATGAACCTGGTCCTGCGCACGTGTAACACAGGAGCCTGAAACGCGCTAATAAAACTTTCGTAAAATTGAGTATATAAGACATAATTGAAAGTTTGATATGAGACACTAAGGAGTCGAGGTTTGTATTTAATATGAGCGTAAAACCGAATATTTTCTAAGGAATAAGGAAAAAGCTTTTGTATACATTATCAGTTTACTATATATTCGGCTTAAATTTAAATGTTACATAAACGTCATACCGAGTTACGAACATTGATGTAATTCGTGGATGTTCACTTTTATACTGTATGGTAAGTTATAAGAATATCCTATCCTATAAACGTAATATGATATCGTACGAAAAACAATAAAGAGCCATTCGTTTACATTTTAGGTGCTCCTTTGAATTTATATATCCAGCAATTCATACGCAGCACAAATTAAATGTCCAGAGTTCTTCCTTATTTATTACTATGGAAGTGAGCTTAATTTGATTGAAGTACGCAAAGTAACTTCATGTACTTTATATGTTATTACGCACAAGTATAAAACTTTACGCTTCAGAGACCAGTAGATAGCAGCCATAAAGTGCTCGTCGATACATTTGTTCCTTTTTACTTTTGGAGTTGGATTAGTAAGGTTTGTAACAATACATAATAATATAGGTTATAAATCGTATAGAATGGAATTGTATGTCGATATGTTTATTATTATGTATCAATTTTCAAAAAGTGTAACAATTTCCCTTAGGTATAACTTAACAATTTGCTTTATATAAGTATGGGTAAAAAACATACGCCACTATAGATGGATGCATCATTTTCTGTCTCATAAATTTATATTTAATATTACAAATACAACGTAAATAATAACGTATGTTAGAAGAATGTGATTTGGAAACGTACTTAAATAAATAGAATAAATAGATCAATTTTATTCACATATCACTATTTAATTCGATATCTATATTAATAAAACAATCTGACAAAATTAATGGAAAGATAAAATGCATTTATTTCATCCATTAATCGATGCTAAATGCATGGACTTGCATTGGCGCTATTATTGGCTTCGCCAGTTGAAAAATAATAAAATTGACAAGGCATACATACTTGTGTTAAATTAAAGCGTCTTTCTCTACCAGTTTATGCGTTTTCGCTACAATAATGAATATATAGATTATTACCGAGTGTTTGTATTAGGCTTCTTAACTCACTCGATTAATTAAAATTAAACTAACACACATATTCGTGTATCAATACCAAAACAAAGTCTGGAACGCCCCTAGCGACGTAAATATTTTTATTATCATTATTAGATTCAAATGTATGTTAAAAGGTATAAAGGTAAGTAGGTGTGTATTGGGTTTTAAGGAATAAGAGCGATCATTACTAAAGCCTTCATAGTTAACTGTCCATTTTGATAACAATTTCCAATATTTATAAATGATTATGTAGATACTTAAAAACTACTTTAGAAGCGAATGACTTTTATATATTTTCATTGAACTGTTACTAATATTAAAAATTAAGCTTTTAATATGCTGCCACTTTCTTTTTAAATAACTAACGTTTTAAATTTGTAATTTGTTTTTTTATTATATTTGGTTTTGGTTGCATTGTGAAACTTTAGCAGGAGACGCTTGTATCATGCGTAATGTATGTATTGCCAAATGATTGCTTCCATATAACCTTTCAATATAAATGGATTTGTGAATATCTTTGTATATTTCGTATGACGCGGAATTAGGTAATTGTCAAGAGATGTGTAGCAAAATGTGCATTTTTTATTTAATATATAGTTCAGTAAATATATTTATGTTTTAGTAATATTGCTCTATAATCAAAACGCTTTGTACGTTTTAATTTTTTTAAGGTTTGGTTTTTATATATTAGGTAAATATGCCAAATTTTATTGCAATGTTTAAAGACTAATTAAGAATCTCATTACTTTCGAGATTATCGTCGCCAAAATATGTTTTTTGTTTGTTTTGAAGTGATATTTGATATTTAATTAGTTTAACTAATATAAATATATTAATTTTCATCAACAAATTTAGTAAATATTACGTGAGTGAAGTTGTTCCTCACATATATCTTAAATTTATATGTAATGAAGATATAAAAGCATTTTACTATGTCGCGATTAACAAAAGTTTCTTATTAAATCTAATGAAAAATATATAATGGACATATTTTTAGACAATCTACAAAACGATTTTGGATTGGTGTTTAAAGGATTTAGAGGCTGTTCAAATTTACCTAAGTAGTCAGCGCTGTTTATTAAACATTTTTTAAGGAGGTATGTGTTAAAATGTCAAAATAACAGGCATGCACTGGCTCTGGGCTGAAGTTTTATACCCAATGTTGTGTTACACTAAAATAATTACTGTTTAAAAAGTATTTCTATTTAGTTTTTTTTTTAATAATATTTATTTCTATTTCCATATCCGAATACAACAACAAGTTTGATCAGCCTCTAAATTTCCTATAAGCTTTTATAAAGAAGTCTGTTTTTCTAAAATCGCCCGATCGTGTTCAGTAGAAAATGTAATGATAATGAACAATTGTAAGCACTCAATAAATATGACAACTAAGATTTTTAAATTAATATTATGGTCCCGGATTCCTGCTTCTTTAAAACTTCAAGTAATAATTTGTATTCTATTTTGTGTCACTATAGTAAACTGTATGAGATTAGAGAGAGAAACGTAATTTAATTGACGTCACGTCATATTTATCGTGTGCTACAGTAATTTAAGTGTAAACATAGTACGTGGCTTGTCTGTGAACCTCGCTTAATATTTACAAAGTTGTTATATAACCTTTTTATATCATAGATTTAGAAAAAAAACTGTATGTTCTGAAATTGCACTTTTACAAGCATAAGAGTAGGTGTTAAATGTAATAGAGCAGATATTATGTATCATGCCGAATTTTATGAGAGATGAAACTCATGTGTAAAAGATAAATCGACAAAAATTTAATTTATTGTGTTTACAATAGTTCGGTGAATTAATTATGTAACGCGGTTACTAACAATTTTCATTTTGAATATTGTAATCTGTAATTTTGTAATTATGAACGGCCCATTTGGCATTAATTGGATTTGTGAACAGTACAACTTAATTTGAATCTAACCTTTAAATGGTTTCTATAAACCATTTAAAGAATTAGATTTTTATTTTCAAACTTTGTTTTTTACTTATTTATCAGTTATAATTGTGAATTGTTACAATATTGTAAATGTTACATAATTAGTGCCCATGAATTTGTATTACAATATTTTGCATAATTATTAAATGTGTGCAATGTATTTAGAACTGTTTTTGTACAGAAAAACTTTTCATTATGCTATAATTTGTTCAGTGTGGATTGAACTAAAATATGTATAACTTAATTTGATAAATTTAATACATTAAGTTTTTTACCTCAATCTTTAGAACAAGCACAAGTTGTTATATTATCTATTTTTATTGTGATGCAAGTTATGAATGTTTCCTTTTATATATATAGTAAGTTGAACATAATTTTGGTGCTGTGTTTATCCTTTCATATAGTCTATAAGGCTTGTGCCGTTTATTTGGCTGTTCATATTTTATAAATAATACATTACTAGTCAAGTAAGGTTCGATTGCATTGTTTAAACGATGGTTTTAGTGTTTATTGTTTATAAGTTTTTCATATATTTGTTGTACTTCACTCAGTAGATTTAAATTTTAAAGTCACACGATGGGCGCCAAACTGTATTGACGCCCAACGGGACTTATTTTTAAATCAATATTTTGTTCTATTAAATTAATTTGGAGGTGTTTTTATATAACTTTTAAACCAAAAAATTGAGTTTTTAATATACATAGCTATATTATATTGCTATTTTACTTCGTTAATATTATATTTTGTTCGACTTTAGCATTCATATGATGACCAGCTTTTAGCCATCGGTGTGGCTATAGAAAATTATATATATTACACTGATTATTACAAGCGTGCTTCTGTCGAAATATATACAGTTTGATTACGGGAAAGAGATTAAATATTGCTTTATATAATAATACATTTTAGTATGATTAACAAATCCTAAGTTTCCAGTATTCTAGTAAAGTACTAGAATGTTGGCAACGATGGCTTGGGTACTTATTTTCAAATTATAAAAATAATACATTATAAATAACAGCCTGTACTCAAATTATTAATGCTAGTTTTCAGTCTTTTTTAGAATTTTCGAATACTCTATGTCTTTAGAGTAGAAGTGGAGTAAACAAAAAATATTTATAATCACACATGTGTAAGTGACTGACCTATGTATTTTGTTATGTGTGTGATACATGTGATAATATATCTATGGATTGGTGGTTCTCAGTAATTTTACCATATAATTGTTTTGTGTCAATAAAAAAATACCTGTAAAGACCCTGTAAGACTAAAATTTTTCAGTATAATATACATTTTTCTAATTACGTAGAGTACATTTTTAATGAGCAGGACCGATATTTAGTAAAATGGCATTTATATTTGTGGCAAATATATTACATATTGTAGAAAATATACCTTGGCGTACTATACATATATACATAATATACTAAAGAACAAAGAAGGAAGGAGTTTAGTGAAAGATTTTTAATTTAATTATTTTGTTAATAGAAATCATCCAAGTGATTGAAAGAATTTTTTTACAGCTATTACTATAATTTCTTCATTTATTTAAATAATATACAGAGAAACGCTTTGTAAGTACTGTTAAAAATCGGGTAATTTTAAACAGCTACTATAACATGTTTTTGCCGATATATAGTTTGTGTCTGACTGACTTATGAGTACTAAGTATGGATATAATACAAATGCTTGTCACAAATATAGATTCAGTGAGGAGGTAACGCAGTGTTGCCAGTGTTGTGAACGCTTTCAGTGTAATGTGTGAATTGATATGTGTTTTATTTGATAATATATATGATGAAGAGTTATAATCATGGTTTTATTTCAACGAGTAGTTGCCCAAAATTAATTTAACATTCGGTAAGACTAAAATATTAAAAACAAACGATATTATTCTCAATTTTACCACAGACTTTAATAGTAAACAAACTGTATGTATGCATATGACATATAGACACACGTCTATGGTAGTAATATTTTTTTATTGATTTAATGTTTTTTTTGCATAATTAAAAAAAACCTAAATATAAGCATTCTGCACGCCCCTATATAAACTTTAAGTATCCGATTCCATACTACTCCGTCCGCGCATTTCTCGTACAAAGTTTTTGCTTCACGTACGTCTGTCTGCCCCTAGTCACATATGATTATCAAAATTGTATCAATTTATGTCGTTAAATTTATGTTCTAGAAGACCATTCTTTGCGATTATTTCTCTGCTACAAAAGTTAATCAATCACGAAACGAGAACATTTAACATGTTTTCAAAGATATGAAAAAAAACAGTAAAATACATAAATACATTTACTAAGCCTCGAATGATTTGTAATTGCTGTGAAGAATTGAGATTATTAACGTCAATATTTACGATGCCTCGTCTTAAAGATTTAATCGAACTGTAATATCGATTGAGTGATTTGATTCTTAACACATTATATTTATCGTATGTTGTAATAATTGTGGTAGGTATGAGGTTTCTCTGTTAAACTCACTTAGTATTACATGCTTGTAACATTGCCATTTCACTTGCAGATTTGAAACAAAAGGTGTTCGTTGCGAATATTTAATATGATATTCTAGAAGGGTACGCAATTTTGTATAGCAGACAGTAATGCATATTATTATACTTTATTAATTTTCATATGCCCTACATGACGAGTTAGATTCAATTTTTGTATTTATGGTCCTTTATTAAG